AAAAAAAAATGTTTTTTCAAAAACTGTACGACGACGACTCCTACTGGTGAACCAGTGCGAGTTACACAAAAAAACACTGAAGAAATTTCGAAGATCGTGAAATTCCCCACAAGGTCCATCAAACCAATTTGCATCATTGTAAAAGGTGGGTAAGCATCAGAAATTTAAAAAATAAAAAAAAAATTTACATACATTTTAAATGGTAAAACTTTAAATTTAAATAGTAAGTACTTAAAATTTATATTAAGAGCTCAAACTTCGTGAGATTTTTTTTTTTTAATATTTTGCTTGAGTACGCAAAAAAAAACTTTGCGGAAATGAATCGCCCTACTAGGCACATATTATTATATTAGATTACTAGAGGATAGCTAAGTTCCTTGATTTATTACCTCTAGACGCAGAGCAGAGATATATCATATCTTTTTTAAATCAAGCCTTTTAACTTTTTTTGTATAGATATTTATAAAATGCTAAATATGACAATTTATTAGAAGAGCATAAATTATTGAATAAAAAAGAAATTGACAACTTGTTTAACTATTATTAAAGGAAATTATATAGAAATTAAAAAATATGCCTTACTTTGTTGTTTTAAATAAAACAACCAATGTTAGTGTATTAAAATTTGTTTGAATTTTACACATATTATGCTTGATTTCCAAGATTTTATAAAAAAACAACTCTTGTTTTTTAGCAAGATATTCTATTATACTCGAGAGCATCATCTATGATTTTTCTCAACTTTTTTCTGGGTTTGCACTTGACCTGATGATTAAATTTCCAGGCACATCTAGCCTGTTGAAGAGAATGAACTGCTTGAATTCTGATATACCTAACATACCATGTACCTATAGATTCACTTTTTATCAAATTTCAGGTGTTATATATTTTTCTTTAGACAATTCTGTAGTATTTACTTTTGCTTCTAAAATTCCTAGAATGTCAAAGGAAACCTAAAATATATTTTTAAAATGTATTTTTAGTTCGATTGAGTATAATTACCTTTTATAAGTATTTGGTGTAAAATGTTACTGGACATTCGGTTAAATGTTTATCTTCTCGTTTACAATGATTTATCTGCAATTCTTTGTTTTTATTGTAGTTAAACCATTTTGTATACCTAATGAATGAAATAATAAATTTACATTTACGAGTTCTATATGTAGATTTTTCTTTATTTTAACCATAATACCTCAACCAATATTACATTCAAACAGTTCACGTACTTTTATATAGATAGGCGACCTGAAATTTTCAAATTTAAATCGAGCAACTAACGAGCAACGTTGTCATATTTTTATGAAGGAGCGGAAAAAAGGATATTCGTTATTTTATTACAAAAATTATGTATACCTATTCATCGCTCCAAAAGCGACAGCAGCGCTAATTCGTTTTGGTACTAATGCGTATACTAACAAATACAATTTTTAATAGAATTCGTAATTCAAAAGTATATATGTTAGTTTTAATAAAAGTATATGGATTTGTAAAACAAGTAAAACTACAATTTATTATTATTATATATTTTTATCGCTTATATTAATGAAAATTATGTATAATCAATAAAAATCAATAATAAAATATAGGCAGCCAACAGTATTTACTGGAAAATGTATGAGAAGTTGCCTGAGTCTAATAAGTTGTCATTGAAGAATTAGCTTATTCTGTCAAAATATAAAAATACCATTTAATAATAGCGTGAAGTTAAAATGTATAAAAAAGGATTGTTATTTATATTTTTGTTCGAAAGAAAACATAGAATGGGGTCTATTCTGTAACAATTCCTTTAACGGCCTTTAAAAATTTTGGCGGCCTATAAAAATATGTTCGTATTCGTTAATTTACTTCTGTCATTATTTAAAGAGATTTCTTTAAGATAGTCCTCTATATAATGTATTTTAAAGATCCGTTTAAATAATGAAGAAGAATGAAGTAAAGAAGAAAATATTTTTAAAGGCCGTTAAATATAAAGGAATTGTTACAGAATAGACCCCAATGAATGATTAAAACTGGTTTCCCATCAGTAAGTCACAAAATTGCATTCCAGCCACATATAATAATCAAAGGCAGAAATCTTGAAATCTAGTCCTTGCTGAATGAACATTTAAGAATAAAGGGATATTGAAAAACATCGTAAAATGATAATTTATTGTTTATTTAAAACTTTTTAAGTTTCTGATGTCTACTATTTCCAGCATTACTGTTATTATTACAAAAATAAAGTTAATTTTTCTTCTTATTGTACACCTATCCATTTATTTCTTTGATTTAATTTCCACTTTGCTACTGAAATTTTTTATATAAGTTTCATTGTTTTTTTTTTGCTAGAATTTGTACAATTTTAACACAGCAACTCCGGTTACTTATTATATTGTTTTTGCCTACATTTTTGAAAAAAAGTAAAACGTATACGTGTATTTGATATGCCAAAATTACAAAATATCGCCCTAAAATGCATGAATTATCCGCAGCTACCGCTAGTATCGCTTTCGCTTTCCTTTCCATGACTTCGCACGGAGTGAATACATATTTTGTAAGTATACAATGTGTTAAATCTGATTGTGTAGGAACGTCTAAAAAATGTAGTAAGCTTTTTTAAAATGTTTTATTTTTATACTACAAAATTTAAAAACATATGTCGGATAATAAAAATAATTTTGCTGTTTGTTTTTTTCTTTTCTTCTATATCCTATGGTAGACGCAATGCCGACAAATTACCTAATATCTTTTTTCTACAGCCACATGAGTATTATATATTCTAAGCAGATAGTACAGAGTCACAGAGTAGGTACAACATAAAGAAGTTCTGTTGAACGGATATAATTTCATACCCATGGATACTGTATTTACAATTATGTCAAACTAATTAGGCATTCCAAACTGAATGGCTACCAGTGGGTTTTGACAGGTTATGATATGACAAAATTATGGCAACCCTGTAGGCCTGGTGATTTGACAAGGTCAATGAAATAGATAGTTACATAGATTGGCCATCCATATTTTTCAAAATAAACATAAGCTTATGCCTTGAAGTAAAAATGTAATTAAATATCTAAAGGCTGAAAATTGGTTTTAAAACACATTTTTGCTAAACCGATTCAAATTAATAAATATTTGCTATGCAATATGGCCGCTTTGAGCAATCTATATAACTATATATGTATCATTGACCCTGTTAATGACAACATGGTTCTGTGTAATCTATTGTTTGAATGGTCCCTTAACCCGAGCCGATTTCTGGAAAAGCAAAACATCATAAACATCAGAAAAGGGTCGTGCAGTCATTGCAGAGACAACCCAGTGTCAGTGGGACAAATATTTGGATGGGCAGATTATCGAACACCTTTGAGGAATGCAGTCTTCAATAAAAGAATAAAGAAGAAGAAGAAGAAGAAGGAATGCAGTCGATTCTTTTGTTAAGACTCTCATTCCATTTGTTTTAATAATTATTATTTTTGTAACATTATTTTAATATTAATAAACTTCATACGTAAAATAAACATTTAATTATTTGTGTAGTTTACATGAGGAATTGAATAATAATGGCATTTTTGTATCATGCTATAAACTACCTATGGAGGGTAGAGGAAAGGAGAACAATCTCTGTATACAAAAAGTGTCCCTCAAAATGTATACAATTAAGATGGCGCTTCTGTGCCCAGGGGACGTCGACAGTCGATAATTCAGATCACACAATGACACCAATGATGTATATAGTAATAAATATTGCTCAACCATAAAAAACTAAAAACTACACGGTGAAAAGTGACTGATCGTAGAAGAGTAAGTGTTCTGTGATCGTAGATAAATTTTGACAATACACGACAATAGTCAAATTTTATTGAAAAATAATAATATAAACAATAAATAATTCTTATATTAAAATGGCACGGAGGTCTCAATTTACTGCTTCCTGTCTGATTTATTTATGAATGAGCAATCTATATGACTATATAGCATTGGATTTTGTCCCCTGGATACCTATTCTCTAACTCATGGGAGCACTCCCACACTCCCATGCTCCCATACTCCCATGCCAACGTTGCCAAGTCGACAGAATAACTTTGATCTACTATTTAAGGACCGATCCACCGTTGTGTTAAACGAAGTTTAAAATGACATTTTTACATTAACAATGTCATTTTAATCTCCGTTTAACTCAACGGTGGAATCAGCCCTTAGTAATTCAAATTTGCTTTGTGATAAATACGGACCTAATCTGGCAAGCCCGCAATTCTCCCTCCCATAGTATAAAATCTGACCTTACTACGCATGTACCTGGGCTAAAAGTGAGTAAGCACGATATACCCACCTAAGAGTAAGAGAGCAAAATATATGGGAGCACTCCCATGGGAGCGCTCCCATGACTTAGTGAATAGCTATCCTGGCTACACGAGCGCCATCTTAATTGTATACATTTTGGTGGCCACTTTTTAATATAAAGATCCATATAAGATTGTCCTCCTTTTATCTACCCTCCATAAAACTACCATATCATTGTATACCATATATTCGAGTTGTAGGAATCTTTTCCTATCGGAATGTTTGACATTTTCCTATCTATAGAAATTTTCATTACCTATAAAAATTTCAAAAATTCTTTTAGGGATAAATTCCTGCAAGTCGAGAATCGACCCCGGTGGTGACAACGAAGCAAGAATAATATTGAACATTTGAATTATTACGTAGAAGTGCATCTAATCGCCATCTATTGCCAACTTAAGTAATGAATGCTGTTCTTGTTTCAATAATTTTATTTTTGGAGCAGAAGAGTTCTATGGTAGTGTTCTTTATACAAGAAACAAGAAGGACTCTTGTTTCCTGTATAGAAAAAGGCGTTCTAATCAATTACTTTTTTTAATTTTATTGTTTTGGAAATGATAATGATTACTAACATTAATTGCGTTTTATAAATTTTATGCTGGTTATTATTTTCATTGAATTGTTTGTATTGATTTCCAAAAGATGGAAACACTTGTATCCATTTTTATTTTTTGTTAGGTAGCGTATCGCGTCACTTGTCATTGTCAAAAGTTTAACGTCTTTTTTTCTAATGTTTTTATTTTTCAAGTGTTGTGTTTTTAGCTATTACAGATCTTCTTGAACTTGATTTAATGTAAAAAGAAAAAAGAGAAACTAGCTTTAAATGATAAAAAGTAAAAATGAGTAAGGAAAATTTCAATTCCTCCGACTGTTTGGCCCGTTTGCACAAGATAGCGGAAGAAATACCCTCAGGGGTCAGGTATGAAAATGTCATTGCCCTGTTACTTCTTTGTTAAAATTCTTTATAACGGCTCTTCGTGTTCACTTCGACACCTACGTTTATTTTCATTTCATTGGTTTATCAATTACAAGTAATAAGGAATATCACTTTATAAATTGGCAAGTTACAACAAGAGGTAATTATTGAGAAACTGAGCTGGGTCGGAATTAGTGCGATTTTGTTTTTTATTTGATCATATTGCACCAGTCCCGGCCTGATTTCGTTTTCTCGGATTTACAATTTTCCTGAAAATAGGTAAGATCTAGACAAACTACTTTTGTATATTTTATGTCAGCCCCTATTAGGTAAATTTGGACCCCTACATTATTTGTGGACCCTTTTCTGATTAAATTCTTGTTGGGACACATTTCTGACTGTCGTTATGCACATTAGTTTTGAAAAATGTATTTCTTATCTATACCCTCTACACAATTTAAAATATATTTACTTGTAGATTTGAAAGTATCCTCTGTATTCTCACATTATTTTATATAAAGCTCACACAAATTGATATTTTTTTATTCTATGAAATAATTAATTGATAAATCCAAAATAAATGATATATTTTAAATAAAACAATCATCTGTGATTTGCCCAGACTCAAAGTGCTAATCAGAGAAAAATTTACAAACCAGTCTGACGGTTTGATCCCAATCCCAAATTTGTCAAAATATTTGTTGGGACACTTGACTTACAATTAGGTATTTGATTTGAAGTTTGTTGGAAAGCTCAAAGTAACACTGCTCATGAGTCTGGGGGTTATGTATGGATTTGGACTCTTGTTGGAACAAACCTTGTAATGTATATGATTTTGAATTCATGGTTTTCTTTTTTTATATACTCAACTGTTCACAATAATTATACTTGTAGGTACTGATTATACAAGAAAATATAAATCATTTATCCAAATCCAAACAGACCTGTGATACAATCAAGTACAGGATAAAATTTAATTTATTTTTAATACTTACTTGAAACTAACATAAATGAATATTCAGTACTTTTACTTATTTTTAATAATATGTAAATGTATGGAGGGTAAGTCAACCTCATTACACAATTTATTGAATTTGTTACACAGTGCAAATATAGGAGATTTTATGAACACATTTGATCTTGGAAATAGTAAGTTAAAACATAATTCATTTCAATAAGGATAATTTCCTGACCATAGCAGAATTTTATTTAAATAAAAATTTCCTTGTTTTATTATACACATGCTGTGAAACAGAAAGATGGGATTTATCGTTAAACGATAGCAGATAAAATCTTTGGAGTATTATACTATTGTCTGTTCCCTGGGGAGAGTAAACGCCTTCTGTATTGTATATTACATGTTTAAAGAACACACACTGAACATGTTTAATAGATTGCATGTGGTTTACATAAGTAGGAGACCAAACTAGCTAAGCATACTCGAAGCAGGATCTCACAACTACATTAAACAATGTATATAACTTTGTTTATTTCTGACTTAATCTCAATTTCTGAATATCGTGCCAAGCATGCACTTTGCTGCAGCAGTCACTTTATTATGATGTTAGTCAAAACATAGTTTTGATTCAAAATAACTGCCAAGATATTTCAAGATGTTCATTTCCAAGAAGATAGTTGAATTCTGTTCTTTTAACATTTAAGTTGTAAGTGGATTAATAACATTTATCTACATTTAGAAGACTGACTCAATCAGTTTTCCTTGAATATTATTGGAAATTTACAACCTATTTATAGGTGCCTTCGATAAGTGGAAAATTAGACTTCCAAAGTGCATTGATGCTGGAGGGAAGTGCTTTGAATACACGTGAATTTTCATTACCTAGTCCCTGTAGTTCTTGTGAATCTCATTCATATCAGAGTGACCCTCTTATAAATAATAAAACTTTAGCTGTTAATTTAAATGTTTGATCATCAATCATAAATATTTTTAGATATGAAGACTGTAAACTATGTATAAATCGTTAGTTAATTCTAAATTAGCTAGATTATGGCTAACTGGTTTGGTAGCCCCTTTTTTGGTGTTTACAAAGACCAGTTGAAACCTTGTCAAAGGACCATCTGCAAGGTCATGATGATCTACTCCTTGAGGGACTTTCTTTCTCTTCTGTTAAAACTTCCAGGCTATAAAATTGTTCCTAAAATGTTCCGAATTTAAAAAAAAAAATGATTTTGGACGTCGCGACTATTAGTATATTATACACCAAGTGACACTTTTATCTCGAGGCGAAAAGTTTGTAGCTCAACCAGAGGGAGGGCCACAATTCATCGAGGGGTAAAAGACACTTCACTTCTGTAGTTTATACACTATTTTTTAGCACTTTAGCAAAAGAAAAACAAAAAAAATTATGACAATTATGAAAAACCAATTAAGGATACTCTAAATAAAGCAATGATGATACCAGTGCAAGATTGTTATAGTGCTAATGTATATTGTACTTTGTACTGTATTTTCAGTTGTACAGTATAATAATATTGTACTAGTAATCCCTAGAAATTAAAAGTAATTTTTAGTCCTTAGAAAAAGTGCATTATAGTATATTATGTACCAATGGACTAAAGTGCCACTTTTAATCACAAGAGGGATTAAATCGAACTTTAGTCTCGTGGTACATATGCTATTTTTTGTACCGCAGGGACTAAAACTTACTAAAATTTACACGATAATTATATGAAAAGAAACACTCAATATTATTTCATAACAATTATTTAAACGATTACTTAAAGATTATGAAAAGTTATTAAAAAATAAATAAAAATTTAAAAAACTAATCTGTCAGGGGTTTGAACCTGGGTCCTCTGCTTATAAGGCAGGTGTTCTGCCATTGCACCACACTGACATAATAAGATTATTGCAGAATTTTACTAAAGTATGGGACTTACATTAACATGTAATAAAAAAGTGTGTACTGAAGGCCACAGGACAGAAATGAAAACCTTTACTATTTTCGTAAAATCGATAAATTTATTCGCTTATAAACAGGTTTTGTTATTTGCGGGACTAAAAATAAAACTGTGAGAAATGGTGTAGATCTACACTGGATCCCTTTGACCATGTATTGTCTAATTTGGGGTACAACATCATCACAAGTGATGAAACATGGGTATACTGCTATGATTCTAAATAAAAGGCTGGAACAAAAAGATGATTGCCACTTTTTTTGGAATTACTGGGCATGTTTTTACTCTAGCTCTGGAGGATAGACGTACTGTTAATTCAAAATTGTACATTCCAGTTTGTTTGCCTCAGGCTTTTCAAAGGGTTCAAGTAAAAGTCCAAAAGGAAAGATCCAAAATAAAATAACACTCGGGCTCACTGCTGCTTGAACAAATAAGTATTTGAATGCCCAAAACATAGAAATAATGGGTCGTTCGCCATATAATCTAGACCTAGCACCTAATAACTTCTTATTTCTGCGGGTATAGGATAAATTACGGGGTTTACATTTTACATTGGCTGAAGTGGTTGATGCCTTTAAAAATTAAATAAACTATGGCCAGAAAATTGGAGAAAATGTTTCCAAGATCATTGACTATGGAGAATACTTTGAAAAATTATAAATAAATTTGTTTTGTAATTAATCTGTTTTACTTTATGGAGAACAGCCTTCGGACATTATGATTTTGTGTTACTACATTTTGGGTTTTAGACCTAGCACCAAGTTTTATCCATTTTTTTTTTAAATAAAGTATTCCATATGATGTAAACTTTCGGACACTGCTAAACATATTATTTTCAAATGTCGTTAAACTATAGGATATAATATAATTAATATTATTAGAGACATTATAATCCTACAATTAATATTAAAACAAGTTTGCACAACTGTTTTAAGTTTATTTTTTTAAACCTTCTAGAAGGAATGAAGTCGAATCCATACTACCCTTTATGACTTCAGAAGAACTTCTTCCTGTTACTAATAGTATTATCATAAATGCCGTAAAACAAAAGATTGATGATTTCTGGAATAACTATAATATTTCTGAAAAGTTAAAAAATTTAAAGGAGATGCAAGAAAAAGCACCTAATGAAAAAGCATGGTAAGTTTCTACCATTTATTTATAAATTTAGTCTAGTCATACTGGGCAGTAATCTGCCACCTCAACATCACTACTATAATGCAATAATTAGCAGTTTAGTGTAAGTAGTTTTTCAAAGCTGAAACTGAAAAAAAAAATTTATAATGTATTTTTATTCAAAAAATCAGTCAAATCTTAATCTAACTGGACTTTATATTGTAACACCATATATTTGGGAAACGAGTAACATTTTTGCTAAGCAAGTTTTGTTTAATCCTCATATTTTTGATCAGAGAATCTTCTATGTCTCATTCCTAATTGAATTTTGAGCCTTGATAAAACTTATTTTTTTACAGTCTATAAAGCACAAATTAACATTTTAATTTGAATTTATATAGCATCAGTTGGAAAATCACATATAGATTACTGATTATTGTGAAAATAAAAAAGATTAAAGACTTAAAAGTTTAAAAAACAATCACACTGCAAGAAATAAATGGTGTCCTGTTTAAACAGTATAATAACAGAAAGAAAATATTCTCCCTCCCTTAAAAAAAAAAAAATTCTGAAACACTTTCTGTTATGTATAAGTATTTTATTCTAACTCTAGTGACAGAATGTTCATTCTGTAATAGCTACAGGCCAATGGCTCTGAATATCACGCCCACATGGTAGATAGTCATGAATTTCATGATTGACAGTTCTACGCTACGTATTATTTTGAATTTGCCTGAATCGAAGTCGAACTTAAATAAAAAAATAATGATTCTGATATGTAATTTGATAATACTCCGAAAAATACTTCAAAATTTGCAAATGATTTAAGTAAAAACTTGCCTTACGTAAGTTAGATTAAATATTTCATTTTGTTCAAAGTTTTATTTTACTACCTTCAAGTTCTACTGCGTCTATGGCCGTGAAGAAAGTACAGTCTGTTACTCTGTTGTAATGAAAATCTGATACTTGTGGTTCTTCACGCTTGCGTTCAGACTCTTCCACTCGTATCAAATTTTCATTTAAACCTTATTACAGAATATGCTATTCCTATGGGTTTTCAAATGGCGCATCAGTATTGTGGGTTGCTATCTAAAAAATTGTAGGACAATGTCATATCCCAAAAAATTATATCATGAACCAGGTAAAAAATACTCAAATGTCTGTATTAATAATAAAAATAGAGGATTTTCTTAAAATCGGCATGTTAAAAATGTATTCTGTACTTTAGGGACTCACCTTATTTATTATTTATACAGGGTGTACCAAAAAGATATACAGTACATTTAACCACAGTGTCTAGCAGTTTTGGGGTCGAAAATAAGTCGATTTAAGCTACCTTGCTTATATAAAAAAGTGGATTGTAAAAGTAGAAATTTTAAAAACGATATTTTCTAATTTTGATATATAAAGTGACATTTTTTTGTTTCAAAATGATCTAATTTGCGCAACCAGTTCCATAATGTTGAACATTATGAAACTGGTTACGAAAAATTCATTGTCACCAGTTACGAAAATAAAACAAAAATAAACCTTTTTTTGGTTTTAAAATCAATATACAATATAAAATCCAAAGTTTAGTCATTTATTTTAACAGCTTTTAGAACTCGTCAAAAGACATCATCTGTATAAAAGTTGCATAATTAGAGGGTTATAGGTACAATTATAAATTATTATTTTAAAAATCATAAAAATCCATTATTAGTAAAATGGATTCCGTTTTCACACAATCATTGTTCCTTTAAGCATCCTGTGTCACGAAATCTAATAGCCAAATTTATATAATCATCCTTCGGGTCAGATGATTTCTTATAGGAAACCTTTCCGCATACAAACGACATGCTGCGGCTGCATTTTGTTGGCACTCCCTGTATCATAGTATTATGTCCATTAGTTCATTGTGTGCAAGAAGGTGCGCTTTTTTTTTTTTTTTTTGTGTAAAATAATGGCAAAATAAAAGTATTACGCACCAGAAAACGACTGATACCACTGGTCTAACCACTAATAGCCCGATATGTAATGACAGATTTCAATAAACCATTTTCGCAAGCTTTATTTTTTGAATATGAGTTATTTAAACAGCATCTAACAGTAAAATCATCGTCTTCCATTCCAGTTGTACGACAGGGGGTTTCGGGAGGGTTGCAATTCCAGTAAAAAAAAATATAAAAAACAAAAATCATTTTCGCAAAGATGAAGCTAAGTGTGATAATAATAATAAAACACAACGAAGGTCGTCTTCCAACCTGATAAAGGTGTTCTCGATATGCATCAAAACCCTTTGAACACATACATTTAGATATATTTTACATTTCTAATAAATCTTATTTGACTATGATTGATACTTTTTCACGATATGGTCAGGCTAATCTCCTAGATAGTATAACAGGGACATCAGTCGTAGAAGAACTCGTAGAAAAAATTTCTGTTTAGAAGATTTTTGTAAACCACACCATATCCAATTACATATCACTACCCCAAATAAATAGTAATTCAAATTCCCTAGTGGAACGGTTTCATTCAAGTCTATTAGAACATTATAGATGTGTACAAGAAGAAAACAAACATTTCACACCAGATCGACTAATTAAAAATTCTATATTTTGTTATAATAATAGTATACATTCAGTGACAAAGTTCAGGTCATTTGAAATAATTAAAGGACACATTAATAATCCAAATCCCCTTGATTTATACGATCACTTAATAATGTCTAATTATGTACAAGATCATATACAAATTAGTAAACAGATGTATAACATAATTAAACTACGTAACGAAGAAGTAAAAGAAAAACAAATTAAATGAAAAGATATCTGAACCAGATAACTATTCTTATCAAAATTCATGTTTTGTCAAAACAAAATCAAGAAATAAAAAATTACCAAAATGTCATTGAAGATAAAGGTAGTTTCAGAGATAAGGAAGATAAAGATAGGAAACGCCCATAAGAAGCCAATGCTTAACAACGACCAGCTTTATCGCAGTTAACATCTGACCCACTATGTGGCGCTTTCATCGATATCAAACAACACAGCCGGAAATTTAAAAACCTGATAATAAAGGTTGTATAAATATCGACTGTACTCTCATGTTCTTGTAAATAAACTTAAACAATGGAATTACGCTAAATTATTTATTAAAAAGAATACTACACTTACAGTCTATTATCGATTAATTATTGTAAATCTATATTCATGACAAATATTTTTTTTGTTATTTTTGATTGTTATTTGTAACATTGCATTTTTGTTTTTATTTTCCTAAGGAAGGGCCAATGGTATCTTATTTAAAAATGCAAAGTCAATAATGGGAATTCAGATATTGTTCTTCCTGTATCAAATCTTCTTCCTAACGTTTTGAAGCCATTTTCTTGTTCTATAACAATAAATAATACATAAATATCTTTGTGACAAAAGTTGTTTACTATTTGTGTTACTTACATGAATAGATCTTACCTACTTTGGTTAATTAAAGAACGCCACATTGGGGTTGTTAAATTTGTTCATGTGGCATGTGTTACCAATGCAATACGTTCTCCGACTTATTGTAATATTACAAAATATAATTATTGTCCTCAAATTTCACACAAAAACAGCCACAACTATTTCGCTTAGTTAATCTAGAGGATAACACAATCATAAACTCAAAATTTAAATTCAGGATTCTTCGATATACATAAAACTAACTGACATTTATATTTACAAAACTGTCCACGTCTGCTGTCTGTCTCAGTGTTGCCAACCGTACGATTTAAATAGTAATTATACGATTTTTTAACTCTCAGTACGATGTACGATTGCATCATAAAATCGCCATGCATTACCGTCTCGATGATGGTGGGTGAGGTTTTCCGGGTTTTCCTCACCTGTAAGTCACGTGGCACCATCAATCATCTTTAAGTCGCCCCGGAGCGCCACGGCAAATAATAATAATAGCCGTCCCTTTCTCCGCACAAGCTCAGCTTTTGTTAAAATTCACTCGTAAGGGGGTGAGTTAGGGAGAGTATTATTATTATTATTATTATTATTATTATTATCATCAGTGTGATCGTACGTAAAAATACGATCTTCATTTTTTTAATAGGTTTATTTAAATATATGCAACAACTTCAGAACCTAAAACAATAAAAATCAAAAATTACTTGCAAAGATGCATAGGCCGTTCGTAATTTATGAAGGCAGTCATTTTCGCAACAAGTAGTCAAAAACACCCCTACTTAGGGGTGTTTTTTCCAATTTTAGGGGTGGTTCAACCATTGCTGCAAGTTTTAACCCCCATTTTCTTAATCAGCGCCCCAAAAAACATATAATAATAATATAAGATGGCTTAGTTTGCAAAACAACAAGTACAGTTAAAAAACACCCCTCATTTTAGGGGTGTTCCAACCATTGTTGCCAGTTTTAACCCTCATTTTCGTAATCAGCGCCCCAAAATACGTAGGGGACAAGTGGTCTCGTCAAGTGCGGCGTTTCTCGACCTTTTACTGTTATGTTAAATGGACTATAGGCGTATTCAGCATTTTTCACACTTCTGTCTGGTTTTGAAAATAAAGTAAATTATTATTTGACTACATTACATTTAAATTACAAGTTTTATAGCAAGTGACAAACAACAAAAATGTACTGTAGTCAATTAAATAAATAAAACTAATCTGGTTTTAACCAAATATTCCGGAAACCAGCACTGATATTTTTATTTTCAGAATGGGCTTCTAACTATTCAACTTTTTCCTCATTTAACCAATTATGTTTCACTGACTGTTTACAAGATGGCAATACATTTAAAATAAAAAGTGGCGTAAAGTCGAAAGTCACATAAAAATACTAAAAAAAAAAACATAGGATCTCGTGGTGATTCATCCATATAACCCAGCAGCATCCATTTTAATAAGACTCGATCTTGTAGCGGGTGTGCAAATGGGTTCTAATTAACAGTGCTGTACCTAAAGTGGCGCTGGGAAACAGTAACAAAGCCTACACAGAACACGGTGCTAATGACCTTAGCAGTCGATGCCGATGACACCAAATAAAAAAAAAAAGCAAAGAACTCCGGACTTATCTAACTAACCGTTTATCGTGTGAGAAATTTTTTAACAAAGGTCCCAAGAAATTGTTGAAAATTATAAGTTTTTATCTTCGCCGCTATGGAAGTAATCCTCATGGCCAATGATAAAAATTCGTGTAAAAAATACCAAATTAAGTTATCTCTAAAAAAATTAAATCATAATTTGCGAAATTTTTATAAATTTTTCTAGCCATTCGTTTATCTCCTTATCGTTGGTGATAACCATTACTCCATCTAGGGCCGAAGTAACAAACTTAAAAATAATTTCCAGCTATTCCTCTTGATTACTTTTACATTTAAATTTTTTTCCATAATTCTATGACGCGACAAATTGTTTCCTACAGCCGTCGACAGCCAGTGTCCTTTCTTATTTGGACACCCATTAGGTACAACACAAAAATATTTTGCCCAAAAGTCTGTGTCGGAACACCATACAACACTTTTGAAGTTTACTGAATATAGGTGTGTGTACATACTTGTATTTTATTCACATTGGAGTTATCTTTGTCAGTTATAAGCAGGTAGGGTTAGGTTGTCCCAGAACACTGCAGTCTCTTGGGTCTATTGTATTCCCCTGCTTTCTCCATATTCAGGTACTATCTTTGAAATAGTCCTATTTTTTTGGTTAATTTTAATAATTTCCTGGGCCGTTATTTCCGGTTCTAGGCCGAAAAGTACGAAACGTCGCCTAGTAAGAGCTTCGCATTCGAAGATCACCTGGTATAAGGTTTCTTCCTCTTTATCTTTGTCGGTTATAAGCAGATAGGATTAGGTTTGGCCCAGAACACTGCGGCCTCTTGAGTCTATTGTATTCCCCTGCTTTCCCCATATTCAGGTACTATCTTTGGAATAGTCCTATTTTTTGGTTATTTTAATAAGTTCCTGGGGCGTTCTTTCCGGTTCTAAGCCGAAAAGTATAAAACGTCGCCTAGTAAGAGCTTTGCATTCGAAGATCACATGGTATGAGGTTTCTTCCTCTTCCATGCAGTCTACACATATTGGGATCATTGTGTAATCCCATCACATGAAGGTGTTTCAGTAAGCAGTACCCCGTTAGTAATCCCACAATAGTGGATATCTGAGGCCTTGCAAGTTGTGTGTGGGTTTGGTACCCTTAGCATGAGCTTACTAATTCTGTGCCCTCTTATCTGTTGCCAGTTAATTTGGTGTTTTGTGGTTATCCACATGTTCACTGCCTGTCGAGCAGAGGTTTTGCTTATCCTAAATACAGGTTCGAGTCCTGTGAATGGTAGTTATGATGCCTCTTTGGCGAGTTCATCAGCCTTTTCATTTCCTTGGATACCTTTGTGCCCTGGTCACTCATTGGAGTCATAGGACGTTTATTACTTATTAATTATAAACAATTATAAAAGTATAATATTTTAAATAAAGTACCTAATTAAACATATAAACGAGCTACGTATTTTTACAAAGGTGTTTGTTTTACAAAATTTCTCGTCCGTGGCATAAATATTTGGCCAGTCCTCGCGAGATGTCTCGTTTGTGGCCTGTAGACGAAGGTATTCATGCGAGATATCTCGTCAGTGGCCTCTGAATAAGGGAATTATTATGCGATATATCTCGTCTGAGGCATTGAATGGGTTAATCGACTGTAATAAGATACATTATCCAAAATAATAACGAAGTTGGCTGGAATTTTTTTATAATGTTCTGAAACTAAACATAGGCACATCCGTTTGTTTATGGTAGTATTTTGTTTTTTTTTTTGACTCGAACATTAATAAACCATCTGGCAATTCTGGATTATTATTAAACTATTTCCTTTTCCGGTTGGATTTTTTAATCAATAAGAGACCCCTTCCATAAAAGCTAGTTTTTTAGTTTTGATGGGGGTATCTTGAAAAAATTTTTGTTACTGTATGTCTAGCATTAACTCATGTTTCATCTAAATGAAATACATGTTTGTGCTGATTCCTTGCGTCCGCTATTTTCCTTAAATAATCATGTTTCTACGCAACGATTTCGTCTTTGTTGTTAAAAGAAAATTTAATTCTTGTAATATTTTTTGCAGATGAAAATATGATATATTTGGAAGAGTGGGGCTATTTTCTAATTCTGAGTGTAATTTTTTAAGTGTAGGAATTTCATTCCGAAAGAAAAAAGAATGTATTATTTGCCTTATTACATTCTTCACCCAAGTTTCAAAGGAAAAAAGTTTCAATGAAGGTTTCATTTCTTTTTGGGGGCTTTTTCGGATGTAATACTTCTACAATAACTGTATCTTCTTTAATAATCTTATACACTCTCCGTTTAGATACTCAAGTATAAGACTCACATTTAGTGGCTATTTGATCCAAGTTTTTACTATCCATTTTTTATGTAAGCAAGCTAGCTTATAACGACTTATATTCGACCCCAGAAACTGCTGTTAAATGTACTGTACATCTTTTTGTTACACCCTGTACTAAACCACAAAAATCCTATTAAAAAAAAAAATATATTTAAATGTGTTTATTTGAATTATAGAAATGCACAAATACAGGAAGAACAAACTAATATCTAAAATAAGTAATTACTCTTAAAGGTTTTTTTTAAAGGCATCTTAAGTTTTCTCATTTTATTCCATGCAACTTATTTCTTTATTAAATTTTACATTTTCAAAAATGTATCTTTAAAATTTACTCTTAAACTTGTAAACGCAGGTACATATTTTTCTGTATCTACTAATTATCTATAAAAGAATTACAGAAGTAAAATACTTTTATTTTAGGAGACCAACTACTGGTGAAGTAGATGTCAAGCCCATAATAGCTTGTGCATTGAGAGAAAGAAAAAAAAGGTTAGAAGAAGAAATAAGAAGGACAAAAGAAAAATCAGATACCTTAAAATCTGATTTGATATATTCTAGAGAAAAACTAGAAAAGCAAATTTTAGAAACAAATCAATGACTAAAGACGAGCCATTATATGAAATCAGAGATTAAAAATAGCTATTTTGAATAGTTTTTACTTAGGTTACAATATTTAGAATGCATACTTTTTCACATTATTCAATAACAATATAAGTTTGTAGCCTGTGGTAAGAAGTCATAGCTTGATATGTCGACATTTTACTGAATTTGAGTTATCAACATCACTGCGTTCGTCTCTATGAGATCTACTAGATGGTATAACTTGATGAGTGAAATTCCCAAAATAACAGTAATCCTGATATATGTTAGAAGTTTACGTTACAGATGAAGTTACCCAAACTCAACGTATCAAGTCATGACTTCTGAATCTTCTGATCACAGAAGATGCTGTTTACATTTTTTTATAAATTTAATTGACAGAAAAAAATTGTTTCATTTCATTAAAATATTTTGATTTCAATCATCTTTTATTCCAGATAATTCAGTGGATAATAAATCGTTAAATAGATCAAAATTTTGCTGAATACGGATTTTAGTTTTTTCAATCTCGTGTAGGATTTCTTTGGAGGCATTTTCTTTCATTTTACCTAAAAAACAAACTAAGACTACATATATGTAAGTAGTATTAATAAGTGAGGCGACCGGCCGTATCTTAGAATATCTTGAAGTATAATTTTTTTTAAAGAAATTCAAAAAACGGTTCGATTTTTATTTCAAGGGGGACACCTTCCCATACAGCACAGACTAATTTCGGAAATATTTCAAAAATGTTACATTGAAACATTTGTAATGTATAAATATTAAGAAACATTTCTGAAATGTGCCTGAAACGTAAAAATATCCTATAAATATAATATTTCACAGTAATATTTCTGAAATGTAAATTTGAAATCTTTTAGAAATATTAAATAGTAATATTTCAGAAATGTATTCTATTTTTTTTTTTCTAAAATATTAGATTAAAAAAAAGACATTTAAAACACACAAAACTTAAACATTGATTCTCATACAAATAAATAATTTTTATACATTTCCTAAAATATAAAAGTGAATCGCTTCTTCATTTCCACCAATTCCTTTAAATGCACTAATCTAAAACAAATAGGTTTTTTTTAATAAAAGCCCCAAATAAAGAAACATTTACAATTATTACAATCTGATTATTAAGATTAATTAGCAATTTTATTCTAACCTAACTTATCTACCCAGACAGCACACCAAATCCTTTGGATATCTACTAAACATCCCAATATCTACTGAATGTCCAGTCCATGGTGTATATCTATTTTATATCCATGAGATGTAATTTATATACATGCAAATATCCATAAATAATAGTAATTATATAGCAAATTATTAAAAAATTACGCCATTGTGGCTAATAGTACCGTTCAGATATTTAAAATTAATTTTATTAAGGTGTATTCAATATCCCATGAACATCCACTAAATATATCAAAGTCTAGGCGTGAACGCAAACCATGGTGGATATCCAATAGATGTAATTTTTGATTTTGCTTACTAAGTATTGATGGCGATACCATTATATATCTACTCATGCTCAACCCGCCGTAATTGAGTTCGATCGAAATTGTTTTCCCAATCAAACTCCATTAGAGACTGGAGTCGAGAATTTCCATTGATTCCTGAAGAGTTTTAATAAGGATGACTTTCTCCTTCCTTAGTGGGCAAAATCAAATGCAGAGTGTTGAAAATGTTTTTTATCTCTGCTATTTTCTTTCGACGTTATTCAATAATCATTGGTTACTTATGAACCTCTATTAAAGATACCCATAAAATATTTTGCTGAATATCCGAATATCTTCTATATCCTGGGATATAGACATTTGGATATCCATATTAGATCCACTGCATGTATTGGATATCCATAAAATATATTCTGTGGATATCTCTGGGATTTCTTGTATTGTCTGGAAGATACCCATTAGATATTTTGTTGGATATCCATTTGAATATCTTCTATATTCTGGATATAGACGGACATTTGGATATCCATATTAGATCCACGGGATAATTCTGATATCCTGTGGATATATTGGATATCCACAAAAGATATTCTGTGGATATCTCTGGGATTTGGTGTGTTGTCTGGGTAGGGATGAAAAACTTCATATACTAAGATTCTACTCACTAGTGTTCCTTAGAGTCTAATTATTTTGTTACACTACCGATAACGTATAACACTTAACCGCACTATACTCTACTTTAATCTAATATCACTGAACTAACTCAAAAGGCTTGGTTCTCTTGAGTCTTCTTATTAGATTGGCATTTTGCGGAGCTGGATAATCTCAAGATTTACATGTTGGAACAGTGGTTATTGGTGACTACTGGTAAATTTTTGTATTGTCTTTTCAACACCCTCCACTTTAAGGTCCTTATGAAGATCTGTATTGCGGTAGTAACAGGGTGCATCGACGATGTTCCTTAATACTTTATTCTGGAAACGTTGAAAAATTCGGCGAATTGCTTCATTTCCAAGAATTCCTTTAAATGCACCAATACAATGCAACAAATTAGCTAATTAAAAAGGATGTATACAAATTATTTGATTAATAATAGTTTTATTAATATTGTTTTAAACACAATATGAAGTTCCCCTTTTCAATCGGCTGTAGAATTCATAAATAAAACTGGTGTAGTACTTACCTATTTCAATTTCTAAAGACATAAAAAGCTCATAACATCATCACACGCATAACAAAAGGAAATAGCAAAAACTGACCACTCAAATCTATAATTATTTAGAATATACGGTTGTCTCTAGCTGGACAAGAAATAACATACATAACTACATACGCAGACAACACACCAAATCCCACAGATATCCGCAGAATATCTTTTGTGGATATCCAATATATCCACAGGATATCAGAAAAATTCCGTGGATCTAATATGGATATCCAAATGTCCGTCTATATCCAGGATATAGAAGATATCCTAATGGATATTCAGCAAAATATCTAATGGGTATCTTCCAGAAAATACAATAAATCACAGAGATATTTACAGAATATATTTTGTGGATATTCAATATATCCAATATATATGGATATCCAACCAAATGTCCGTCTATATCCCAGGATAAAGAAGATATTCGGATATTCAGCAAAATATTTTATGGATATCTTTAGTAGAGGTTCATAAGTAACCAATGATTATTGAATAACGTCGAAAGAAAATATCAGTAGGGATGTTGCGATACTACTGATATGATACTATCGATACTTTTCTTTCGATACCGGGTAATTTAGTACCTGATACTTTGCTTTCGATACTTTACTCATATGGGTACTACTTTTGTTTCGATACTACTACTTTCGTTTCAATAATTTTACTACAAAATGTATATTGTAGGATCACTTTATGGTATATGTCGGCGTGTACCCTATGGCCTTTTTTTTTTTTGGTTGTTCTGTACTCTTTCCGATATAGGTATCGATACTTTCGTTCCGATACCGGTATCGATACTTTGGTTCCGATACTCCTTTCGATACCAGTATCGATACTTTACTGGTATCGCAACATCCCTAAATATCAGATAAAAAATATTTTCAACACTAAGGAAACAGTCATCCTTATTAGGACCATTCAGCAATAAATGAAAATTCTCGACTCCAGTCTCTAATGGAGTGATTATGACACATTTCGATCGAACTCAATTACGGCGGGTCGAGCATGAGTAGATGCGATAGCGGTATCGCCATCTATACTTAGTAAGCAGAATCAAATAACATCTAGTTGATATCCACGATGGTTTGCGTTCGCGCCTAGACTTTGGCAAAAAAGTTATTGGAGCACTTTTCTTTGATCTTACACAAGCTTTTGATTGCTTAAATTTGGATTTTGTGGAAACTAAACTTCAATCTTTAGGTTTTCGAGGAAATGTGTTAAGTTGGCTAATGTCATATTTAAGACATAGAAAAATTATTGTCAAAGTGAATGAAACTTGTTCAAATGAAGGTAATGTAGATATGGGGGTTCCTCAGGGATCCGTATTGGGACCATTGATATTTCTTATATTTATAAATGATTTACCAACATACTTAAACGCAGATTGCATTGTTCTATATGCAGATGATGTGTCAGTGGCTTCTTGTGCGAATTCTCTAGAGGAACTTTCAAACAAATTGAATTTCCTCTATAACAAATTCAATGAGTGGTGTCTACAAAATCACCTAATATTAAATTCTAAGAAAACGGTACTGATGAAATTTAACATTACTAATAACATTGAGAATGTAATAACAGTGACAACAGATAATCTAAATATGACAATGTCCGAGTCTACAAAATTTCTGGGAACTTTTCTTGACAGCACCTTATCATTTCAATCGTGCATTGATTATATTAGTAAAAAGGTTAATAGTGGGTATTACGTTTTATTTCAACTAAAAAATATTTTAGGCAAACAACAACTTATAAATATATATTACGCAATGATATACTCTCATTTGTCATATAATTGTGTGGGGAAATTCATCATCCTCTAATAGGCTTTTCATTTTACAAAAAAGAGTTTTGAGATTAATTCTTGGTCTTAATAGAAGAATATCATGCAAATCATATTTCCAACAACTTAATATTTTAACACTGCCTTCTATTTACATTTATAAATGCATAATATATATTAGGAAAAAAATTAATGAATTTAGCAAAAATTTAGATAATCATAACTACCAAACCAGGCATGGTAATTTGTTACGAATTCCGAATCATAGAACAGCGTTCTATCAAAAATGTCCGTCATATGCTGGCATACAATTATATAATAAATTGCCCCAGTCAATAAAAGATGAACAAATTTTTAATTCTTTTAAGAAAAAACTTAAGGAATTCTTGTTAGAGAATTGTTTTTATAATGTAGATGAGTACTACAATTTTAACTAAATAAGTATGGCTCCACTCGGTCTGTGTAATATTATTTATTTTTATTTGTTACGTGATATATGCTCTGTTTATTTTATATATATATATTTTTTTTTATGTTTACTTGCCTAAATTCTATACATTCTTTGTAAAACTGACTTTTCCAATACCGTGTAGCAATGGTCTTACTGGAATAAATATTTTTTTTTTTTTTTTTTGATATATTTAGTGGATGTTCATGGGATATTGAATACACCTTAAAAAAATTAATTTTAAATATCTGAACGGTACTATTAGCCACCATGGCGTAATTTTTTAATAATTTGCTATATAATTACTATTATGTATGGACATTTGCATGTCTATAAATTACATTTCATGGATATAAAATAGATATCTACCATGGACTGGACATTCAGTGGATATTGGGATGTTAAGTAGATATTCAAAGGATTTGGTGTGCTGTCTGGGTATAGTGATGTGTTGTTATTTAACTATCTGTTATTTGAAACACAGTGGTTACAACTGTTAATCTAGTTCAAAAATAACAGGTGCAAAATAACGCCACAACACAAAACGGTTGGCGATTGTTTCCTCGCGAAATGCGACTTAATGAGAATTTGTTGGTCAATGGCATTCATTGCCGGTTGATCGCGCCGCAAAATTTGCAATAACATACGTTACAAGCGTTATTTTAATAACGCTACTAGCAATCGTTATTTAGGTATTATTTACTACTGTTGTTTCATGTCGCATGCGTTCAAGTTTCTGGGCATACTGGCGCTGGATTCTGGACCATTGAGTAGTCATGGGCCTGGGGTATTGTTATTTCGTTTTAAGTAGGTGCAAAGGCGTTCACTATGGAGTTTCCTAGTTCAACCACTAGATGTTAAAAATAACGACAACCTGTTCCCAGCTAGCACAAAAACATCCCATCTACGTTAATAAGCTGCAATGTTAGGCTCTTTAAGCTCGCATGCAATGTACTTTTAATGTAACCCTGATATTCCTGCAACCGCCGATTGTCCGCAACGGCAAGACTTTTATAGCACATCTCACAGAGGTTACCAAGTGAAGTTCGGAAAATATCACACTAGCACTTTTACGGTACTCTCCCCGAAAGTTGCTCTGAAACGTTTTATAGATGTTATAATGTGAATTCATTTTACAGCATTACACTGTGTGTCCGCGGATGGACTTAACAATAATTGTAAAAATATTTATTTTAAATTTAAAAAAAGTACTTCTTCATAATTTCTTTTGCTTGTTAAATAATTAGCTAATGAAATATTAAATTTACACCAGGCATTGTAATCTGGAACGAAGAAAAAAGGTTTTCTATTTTATCCTTACCAATTCTACTTAAATGTATAAATAATAATTATTTATAAAATAAATTCTTAAAGTTAAAAAAACCACAAAAAACATGACATATGACAAGAAAAAGTGACAATTCACATAAATATAAAGCTTCTCGTGGATACTGTTTTTAGTTAATTACTTTTTTACGTTGTGTTAACATAACAAGTAGGTTAAATAGGCAAGTAACAAATAGAAGTTTTGCGAGGTTTTGATTTCCCTCAACAACTTCTTATGAACGTTGTATAGTATGTTATTACGTTCCCTTAAAGCATCATCGCTGAAAGGCTTGACAACGTTATGTGCTAGCTGGGTTAAAGATGTTATTTAAAAATAACAGTAACAGTTGTAACTGTTAAATGAAAATAACGCTTTTTTCCATCACTAACTACATACCCCATCTTCTTCTTACAAATCAGAAATTCTTCATTAAGTGTTGGCCTTTTACAACATAACCTGTTTAATAATAATAATAATAATAATGTTTATTTTACTTCTTACATATATTTTTTTTTTTACAAATAAATTCTCTTTTAATGTAAATAAACATGGGTTAGTCCGAAAAAACCATAAGGTTGTGCTCGGAAATTACTTCTGTTTATTAGTAGCGCCATAATTGCTGATAAAAATTAATAATTATAACAATAGACTTAAGATTAATAATCATACCAATAGTAATTACAATATTAATAAATGTAAATATTATTTATTGTTTCGGCCTTTACTTGATGAAAATCCATTTAATTTTGAAAGAGTAAAACCAAATTTGGTAGAATTTTCACACTTTTATTTTAAAAATAAAAATTTTTAAACAAACACTAACATGACATATGTTTCGAAGTACAACATTTGAAAAAGAAGTTGTACTTCGAAACATATGTCATGTTAGTGTTTGTTTAAAAATTTTTATTTTTAAAATAAAAGTGTGAAAATTCTACCAAATTTGGTTTTACTCTTTCAAAATGTAAATATGTGCATTAATAATAATAATAAATAATATACATGAATAATAATAATTAATTGTACTAGCTGGCAGACTAATGATTAATTAATAATATGAACATGAGTATAATAAGAGTAGTTAATATTATTAAATTAAATACTTAATACAAATAGATATAACAATAATAATAATGCGTTCTTAATAAATATTATAATTAGTTAAAAAAATTATATAAAAAGAAAAAGCATTAGAATATAACAAAACAGAATTTTCAAGAACATGTAAAACACACATTGACATATGAAATGTAGAATTAACAAACGAATTGTAAATTATGACAAAAAAAGATGAAAAGCATTGAACAATTTTTGATGACAACAAGAAAGCATGAAAATGATTACACTAATTTGGTTAAATTTGATGTTTTTTTTTTAATTTTTATTTTTTTAGAGATTACTTTAGGTTTAATTATTATTTAGATGTTTTAGTTTAATTCAATTAAGTCATGAATATTTTGTCGACCAGTATTTATCAAAAAATTTTTGAAGATCTTTTTAATGTAGGATAAGGAATTTATTTTTCTTATATGGATTTTATAGATTTCTGGCAGAAAATTGTATATTTTAGGAGCTAAGAAGGTAAAACATCTTTGTCCTATAGTTTTTTTTAATAACGGGGTCTTAACAAATAATGACGATTTTTGACGAGTATCATACAGGTGATCAATTTCATGTAATATGATTTCCTTATTTTTATATGTAAAAATTAAAACTGCATGGCAATATAACTGACGAATATCAAGCAAATTGGCCTCCTGAAAAAGTAGGTCTGTGGAAAAATAAAAAGGTTTTCTTAATAATAATTTTAGAAATCGTTTTTGGAGAATTTCCATACTCTTTAAGTGAACTTGGTACAGCCCACCCCATACAAGTTTAATAACCTTTTATATCTCAAAGCCGGTTTATTTCAATCTTTCAAAATTAAGGCTATTTTTCAACATAATCACCCCCCACAGTTATGCACTTGTCCCATCTTTCTTGCAGCTTCCTAATTCCCTTGGCGAAGAATTCTTTCGATTTACTCCGAAGCCACTTTTGCACCGCTTCCTTAACTTCCTCATTGTTAGTAAATCTTTTTCCGCGTAGGGCGTCTTTGAGTGGTCCAAACATGTAAAAATCAGATGTAGCGAGGTCGAGACTGTAGGCAGGATGAGGTAAGACCTCCCAACCCAATTCTTGAAACTTATCACGGGTCACAGGGCAAGCGTGATCGTGCCGACGAATGACTCCTTTTGACAAGAGTCCACGGCGTTTGCACCTGATAGCTGGTCTAACTTTGTGTTCTAGCATCTCTGAGTAGTATTGGCTATTCATAGTTCGCTGATCATTAAGGAAATCGCAATAGACTGGACCCTGTGAGTCCCAAAAGATGGCCAGTATCACTTTACCGGCGCACTGGAGAGCTAGTGTGTTTCCACTCCATACTCTGCCTTTTGGTCTCAGGGTCGTAGTGATGGATCCTGACCACGTCGCTAGTCACTATTCTTTTAAAAAAGCGTCTACTTCAATTAAACTTCGTTGCTTTAAGTCTTGACTAATGGAAAGCTTTGATTCTTTATGAGCGTCAGTAAGCTGTCTGGGAACCCATCTGGCACACGTTTTTCTGTACTTTAAATTGTCCTGAATGACATTGTGAACAGTTCCAACACTTACTTGAACTTCCTCAGCTATCATTTCAACAGTAATTCTTCTGTTATCACGAATAAGTCCGTCAATCCTCAATTCCAACGAGGGACCAGAAACTTCCACTGGACGTCCACATCGGGGTTCATCACCTACACTTGTTCGGCTACTTTTAAACCGATCAACCCACTTGTGAAAATTCGCACGGTTCATACAACTTTTACCGTACTGACTGTATCAACATTCTAGAAAAATGTTCACTTGGTTTTACACCTTCTGCGACTAAAAATCTAATGACTGAGCGCCTGCTCTTCTAAGTTGCAATCTTCTAGTGGACTTGCCATGGTGAATTGAAAATTTTGAGGTTATGTTGACATAAAATGATGAAACAGCTGATTAGAGCATATCCCAAGGTTGCCAACTAACCCACCTGAAAAGATTGTACACATTCATTGAATAGTTTTAAAATTATAGAGTTTGTCTCTTTACTTATTGAATGACCCTTGTATTTAAGTAAAATATTTCAGAAACTTGTCCTTGAAATTTTGTGTTTGAAATATTTCTGAAATAATGTGTGCAGTATGGTTTTCTATAATTTTATATGAATCTTTCTATATATCTTTCAATATAATATCCTCAACTGTGTCATATGTCATTCCTCTCCCCTACGTCAATCTAACCAATACAATTTAAATAGGGAAAGTACCAAGTATGGAAAGGTAATTTTATGGGGAATTTAGCAATATGACTGGTCATTATTGTGTTCCTTATAATTTTAGCGCCCTATAGTGGGATAAAAAATTATTGCACATGGTAAAGTGTGACGCTTCATTTGAAAGCTAATTTTATTAAGATATTCTGAGATACGGCCGGTCCCCACTCTTAATTAATGAATCGCCCTGAATTTAATTTATTAGATGCTTTAGAAAATATTTCATAATTGCAGTTTTAGTAATCGAATGATCAATAATAATAATAATCAATAACTTTGAATTTAAAATATTCTAATTTTTTAGATTTATCTTAAAATAAACTTACTAGAATAGTTTAGGATCAAATCATTTGGTAGTTTAAAGGTTTCATCATAAATCTCAATGAGTCTTTTATAACATTGTAAAGCAAGATCAAATTTAGTAAAAATTTTTTTTGAATAGATTAATCTCTTGGTCATTCTCTAAAAAAAAAATGCCATTATTGATAATACAAAAAAATGAATTAATTTCGAATTATCTATGGCAAAAGCGTTAAATTTACATTTATCTTCTAATTATTTTCGTAAACCAATAATAGTCCGAAAGGCAGTGTGGCAATTTGTTTGCAGATTTCAATGAAACGATTGTTTGAATAAAGTTAAGCGAAACAAGCGTCAGTCAAGGAATAATCGGAAAATATAAAAAAAAAATAATATAAAATTTGTAAATTTTTAATATTGTTTGAATAATACTAAATTCAAAAATAACAGTCGGCTACATTGACAATGGTGGGTTATTCATCAGTTACGTATCCTTATAAACCTGTAATAAAAAGTTAGGATACACACTTATTTTATCTGTAACGTGTGGAGGGTGTGGGTTAACCCACGGCACTTAAGCCTCACTAGGCCCGTTGTGCATCCTCCTAAGTAGATAGGCACCTCCTAGTTTGTGAGTCAGCCTACAGATTTAATGAGTTGACAACGTCGCCAAGAGGTATTTCTCTTACATCGGCCGGTGTTAGCTAAGTCTCGCCGAACACAAATCTTCTAATAAATGAGAGCGTCGATCAATCGTAGAGGAATATGCTCGATGGTCTCATCTTCTTGTTCGCACCCCCTGCAGAGTGCAGATTCTGCCAGTCCCATGATATGGAGATGCTTCCGTAGTTGGCAATGTCCAGTAAGAATGCCTGTGATCAGTCGCAGATTCTTTCTATTTATAATCAAGTATTTGTTCGCTGTAGTCTTGTCAGGATAACTTAAAAGCTCCTTGGCAAGTCTGCAGCTTCTTGTTTCATCCCATCTTTCCTTGAATTTTACAAGGGAATGTTCCTTAATTAGTCCTGTCCCTACCGATGTTGTCAGTCCAATAGGACAGGTCAAAAAAGTATTTGGTTTACTGCCTTCTTGATAAGTGAATCAGCAAGACGGTTACCTTTCGATGTGGCGTGACCTTTGATCCATCCTAAGTTGACCGCATTGTTGATGGATACTTCGGCCAAAGCTTCGTGACATTCTAGTACTAAACATGAATAAATTCGTGGTCTGTCCAGGGTGAGTAGTGCTTGACTACTATCTGTTTAGATGAGCATGTTTCTGCATTGATATTATTTCTGGTGATTTTTTTGCTGCTATGAGAATCCCCGTGAGCTCGGTTTGAACTACACTGGCTCTACTGCTCACAGCCCATTTTATGTTTAGGCTTAAGGATCTGGAGTACATTCCACACCCTGAGGCTTGTTTTGTTTTATAACCGTCGGTGTAGATATGAATCATACCTGCAACTTCGGGCTCTTCTCTTTGTTCTGTTATAACTTTATATGGCTTATGAAAGATATATAACTCGATGAGATGGAGTCCATGTTCGCTTGAAGCAGTAGGAGCGTATCGAGCGCCTCCTACGAAAAGCGACATCTCGCCTCACCAGATCCTACATCAAGTTCTATTCCAACCATGCGGAGGCGTGTCATTGCGTAATCAGAGCAACCTCCTTAATGTAAATATCAAAAGTAGTGAGACTAAGAATAACTTCCATGGCTCTGGTCGGTGTGGTTTTCATGTCTCCTGTTATATTGAGACATGTTTTTCATTGAATTTTTTCTAGTTTGCGGATAGCTGTCAATTATTGATTTTTCGGCACCCATCGCAAACGACTGCACCGTATGTTAGCATAGGTCTTATAATGGACGTGTTAAGTCCATGCGACGACTCTGATAGAGAAACTCCAGGTGTGCCGTACGATTAAATATGTTTTCTAAGTATGAGTAACATGTTAACTTAATGTCAAAGGTGTTTCACCTCTGTTGCAAAGTTTAGCTTCGTGTTTAGGAGTTCTGGAGGTTTTAATCCTTTTATTTGTGAAAAGAACCATTTCTGTCTTCTTGGGATTGATAGACAGTGAATGGTCTATAATGTTCTATAATTTTATGAACTATATGTTCTCAAAATTCCCTGTTTGCAGAATGACCAGGTAATCTGCCTACGCTATTGTGTAGTTACTCATTATTGAGGCTGTCGAGGACCATGTTCCACAATAGAGATGATAGCACCCTCCCTGTAGACATCCCCTCGCAATCAAGCCTCGTATATTCACAAATTCTACACTTATATTTACTGCTCGCTTTGAGAGCATGTTCTGTATCCACCCACTAATCATCTGTGGAACATTCATGTTGTTTAATGAGTGTATTATCTTGGGGAAGGTATTAGCAAAAGTACCTTCTATGTCTATGAAAACACTCAAGGCTGACTCTTTATTGTACAGTGATCTCTATCCGGCCAACAACTAGGTGAAGGGCTGAATCAGTAGATCTGCCTGGGGCGTATACATGTTGATTTGGGTGTAGTGGTGTTGCTGTAATCACCACATCCCTTATGTACCTTTTTCATACCCTTTTCAATGTCTTCATAGAATTTCTTTCCATTTTTTGGAGATATACCTCAGAGCCAACGAGATTCTAATATACCTATACCAGGTGAGGTGTGAGTTCTAGATCCCACTGAAGTAGGGCTGGAAAGATACCGTTAGGTCCTGGCGATTTAAATGGAGAGAAGCTAGATATTGCCCATCTAATTTTGTAATCGTAGACATATAGTTTGTATTCTTCCTCTGCCCAATCGGCCACATCTGTGATAAATGAGTCAGGGAAGTGTGTTGATAACAGAAGTTTAATGCTATCTTCGGAGTACACATCGAACGTGCATGGAATTTCAACCTCTCATAATTTAATGCTTAATTAACTGTCGATCTTTCCTTCATTATATCATCAGTTGACGATTAGTTTTATAAAATTATTTTATTTGACACATTTTTTTTAAACAGCATTTATTAATATTACAATTTGATCAAAAGTTGATCAATAAATTGTTTTATTTTAACCTAACTATAAGGTTGCAATCTTAAAAACTAAAGTTCTACTAGCTAGTATACAGGGTCTATAACTTTATTACACTAAACTAACGTGTAATCGCCTCAACATTCACATGCTAGTGGGGCCGCTGTTCGTGACTTTTAGCGAATCTGGTGATAGTCTGGTCAACAGTGTCAATCTGAAGGTCGCCGTTTCTAATGTACCAAGGAGCATCGACAATGTTCCTCAACACTTTGTTCTGGAATCTCCAGATTATTAGAATATTACTGTTGCTGGCACAACCCCAGAGCTGACTGCCATAGGTCCAAACTGGTTTGAATTAATTTTCAGCAAAATCTTATTTATTTTCTAATAATTTGCCTGCAATATTTGTTGTTGATTTTTTTATATATCACGTCATGAAGATTTCAAATAATAGATAGTTTCCTTTGATTTAAATAACAAAATGTTATTATTTGAGTACATAGTCTCAAATGTAGTAGCGTTATAATAAAGAATATAGAAAACTACAAATTAAAACCATATAAACAAGGGCGTGCCGAGTTTCTTGAGGGCCCAATTGCAAGGCTTTGAAAAAATCTGATGTGTCCAACACATGACTTTCCTATCTAGTTATTATAGGCTTTTTCCGGTTATTTTGTACCACCTATTGCAGCATCTCTATAAATGTTTAGAGGATAAACTAAATATATACATTGTCCACATACATTTACCTCGAAACATTTTTCTATAGAGATTCATTGAAAACGAAAATACTGAAAAATTTAAATTTCCTACAATTTTTTCATTACGGTCCATTTTAGAAAAATCATGTATAAACAAAAATTATAGAGATCGATATCGCAAACAACTTTTAGTTCAACAATTTTCTTAAATATCATAATTTTGCACATTTTGTCAAATTTCTCGAATACGGGCCATTTCAGGAAATGTTGACATAAAACAGAAATTATAGATAATAATATTAGAAGTAAAAACGGCCTACCATAAAGTACCCCCCAGATGTTCCGACTTTGTCCAAAATCTAAACATTTCACGTCAGGCCGAAATAAAACTTAAGTTTAAAATTTTGTGTTTTTTTTATCCGTTTTTGAGTTTTCTTCAAATTTCAAATTTTCTCGAATACGGTCCATTTTAGAGAAATTATGTATAGGATCAAAATTATAGAGAATTATATTACAAACAACTTTTATTTGAACAATTTTTATAAAAAAATATTTTTTACATTTTGTCAAATTTCTCGAATACGGACCATTTTAGAAAATTTTGTATAGTACAAAAATTATAGATAATAATATAAAAAGTAACTTTTATTTGAAGAATTTTCTTCCCCAAACGTAAATAACATATATTCCATAAAATATAAAAATGACCACCTATAAAGTACCCTCCAGATGTTCTGACTCTGCCTAAAATCTAATCAGTTCATTGGACGCCGGAATAAAGCTTAAGTTTAAAATTTGGTGTTTTTCTTTGTATCGGTTCATGAGTTATGGTGGATACAGACACACAGACAGCATCGCGAAAATAGTCAAAACGGATTCAGGGGACCTCAAAACGTAAAAATCCGTCGAAAACTCGAGGTCGAAAAAAAATCATGATTCCTATACTTTCCTTATGTATACAGATAAGAAAGTAAAAATGAACAAAAATGCGAAAAAATAGTTATTTGTGTATCAAAGGCCGTAAAGTTGATCTTTTTAGGCCAAAAGAGATCATACGGCCGAGGTGCACACAACATTTATTAGCCGACTGTCTCATCAAATATAGCCAATATTTTTTTACATGCTTAAATGCAAGAATTGTTTAAAATTTGTACAGAATTAGGTACTAACGATAAGTATGATAAACTTGTGTTTATAAAAAGCGGCCGTAAAGTAAATGCGAAAGTATATAAAGTGAAATGCGTCACAAAAAAAGTAACACTTCAGGGATGTTAATAAATTCATAAAATGCTGGTTAAAAAAAAACCAACAAAATTATTGTAGGGATATTTCTTCATTTACATCGACAGTAGCAAAACCGGACGATAAAAAATGCTTGCAAGGGTATTTTTTATTGTTATAGATGTCTAGAAGCATATAACTATTATTTCATTGTAAGCAAAAACGAAAAATCCAGGACAGAATTTGTTGTTCACCCCCCTCCCATGTATATAACCAAAAACACGACGTGCCACTTTTTGCAATCAAAATGAGGGACTACCTAATAGGAATAACACTAGCCTAGAGCATCACATCTCTTATCTAGGTACCTTATTGTTATGTGATATATAATAATTTTGACAAATTTTACTTACTTTTATTTGTGTGCGATAAAAATTAGTACTTTGTTTCAATTCATCGATATTCATTTCATGTGAGCTCTTTTCTTGTTCTTGAGTTTTTAAATAATTGGCCAATTCTTTTAAATCCTGTTTTGCTAAAACGGTACTCATAAGACATACCTATTTTGTTTTTTTTTTATTTGTTATAAAAATATGATTATTTACCAATTTTAACTTCTGATTCAAGATTATTAATATCATTTTCTGATACATTTTCTGTAAGATCTGTTTCTTCTCCCTCCATTTCAAAATTATAAATTAACTATTTTGGATTCCTGCAGATATTCGTCTGATTTTAAGAATTTATTAACTGTAAACTTGTGTAAAATAACTATCAACCACTAGATGGCCACAGCTGTCGCACGGTTTTATTTTTAGGTGCGCCTGCGTAAATGTTTATTTGTTGAGGGGTAAAATTTTCAACAGCTTCTTTGACGCCATTGTGGTTTTTAACATTTTCTAAAGTTAGTGCTGTAAATTTCTATATTTGGAGTGTCGCTTTTTGTCTACAGGTAAGTTGTTATATTAGCCTTAAATAGAGAAATTCACATTAAACAGAATGTAATGGTTTTAAAAGTTTAAAGTTCTAAAAACGTGGTTTATTAATACCGGTATTATGCTTGATCTAGGCACAAAGGATGCATTTTGTTCAAGCGCGGTTTCGTTTGATATTTATTATTGCTTATTTATTTATTGCATTTCATATAGTATGTTAAACTTATTAAAACCGTTAAATATATTAAAAAAAATTAAAATTCCCACAATGTGAATATAACCTCAATTTGATCATGGTTCACTCCGGAAAGCACTAGTTATTGAATATCGACTCGTTGCTTGAATGAAGTCTCAATTGCGTGTCAATATGATAAGTATTTTTAATAGAGGTTTCCTAGCAACTTCTGTTTACTACAAATTTCCGTCCGGATACTACATCAAATATTACAAAAGGTTCAATTTGTCCAACATTACTTACTCAGTAGTTATTTTAATCAATATGCTTGGACTTCATTTTGTACATGCGAAGTTATATTTTTCAACCACACACCTCGTTGTTCCAACCTATAATTTTAGTCTCCCAAACAATTTCTTTTTATTGGCTTAATTTGATAATACATTAAAAAAATTAGTATTACCATTAAGTTGATAAAAATACGTATATTGAATGTAAATCCTAGTACAAAATGCACAAATTTTTAATGCAAACCTCTGATGCAGTTTTAATAGTTCCTATTAGGTAGGTATACCTATAAAACTTTGTACCTATCAAAGTTGGACTAAATCAAATATCCGAAAATTATCTTCATATATACAGGGTGGTCCAACAGTAAATTAGACAATCTTTTCAAATGCAATGACCCAACCTTTTACATAAGTACATACCTACTTACTTCGAAATATTAATTTTAATCTCTCACCTGGCTTTAAATATTGGTAGTCTCTCTGGAATTTATAACACTGCAATAATTGCAGTACAATTTCTAGAATGATGAGGAAGAATTGGTCTCTAGACCTATCATCACTCCTTTTGTTTACTAGTGGTTTTCTAGATATAAGTAAACAAATGATTATATATTTTTTTATGGTGAACAATAAATGATTTATTATTATTATTAATTATTGTACAAAACCAAAGATTTTTCAGACTAATTTAATTTATACAGGCTGGTCAACAATTAATTTCACATTCCAAGCATTTTCAGATAAGTTTTTCAAATAAAACACCCTCTATTTCTATATATTCATCAATCTATGACGAATTTTATCTTATATTAATCTTGACAATTTGGTAAAGCGACTGTGTGTAGTACAGGAGTAGGTGGGTTCGAATCCCCTGTGGGTGGATTTTTTTAAATTTTTCATTAAATTTGTTTTCTCTTTGAAGGTTTAAAAATAGTTTTCATTCTTTCATAGGGATAATATTAGGATTTGTTTGGGGCTTTCCTGGGAGTTTAATAAGAAGTAGAAGTACCTACCTGTCCATACGTTTAGTAGATAAATGTTTTTTTTTTATGTCGCTAGCCTATTGCACATCTATGTTCTAGAGAAAAGCTCAATGATCAGTACTCCAGTCATGTAGATGAGTAAGCGGCAGGAAGTTTCACCATGGTACTAAGATGTGCAATTAAATGCCTGTTAATGAGTGAGTGAATGGGTATGACAGTAGAATCTTCAAATGGCGGCACAATAATAAGCCTCGAGGGCTTCACTTTTCAGATGGATTAGGGAGATACCACGGGAGGTCTGAAGCATACAAAAAATAGAATAGATATACTTACAAGGTTTTACATTAGGCTTCATTTTCTTATAGAGCTTGATTTTTACTAAAAAGTTCATGTTGATATTGCTTTGCGTTTTTGATTTATGATTTTTTTTTTAATTTTAAACCTTAACCCCCATTTTTATTTAGTTTTTTCAAAATCAATATGCTTTGTCCTCTTATGGAGCTTGATTTTTCCTGAAATTTTCAAGTTCATAACATTTTTCGTTTTTGACTTATCCTGCAAACAAAACAACGTGACAGACGGACAACATAAACTATTAATACTCTTCACAGACTATTGTGTGAATAGTATAATAATTAAGTGATTTGTTTAATTTACTGTTGGATCAATCAACGTGTATTGAAAATAATTTCCTAATATACAGTATTATATATTTAATTTCTACTATTCTTGTCATGTCCGTTTTTGGTGCTTTAATAATAATAAAAAAAGGATTTTAAACTTTTTAATAATTATAACGACACACCCCAACGTTGTACTAAAGGTAAGCCAAAAATATAATTTAAAAAAATTAAATGTTAACTATAAAAAAACAATTTTTTTCTTGTAGAATGGCTTTGATGTTTAAAAAAAAAAATAATTTACAGATAAAAAAAAACTACTGAAGAAGGCACTGATCAGTGCTGAAAGCTTACCCACACATACATGAGTTTCATTTCTCACTAACACCTAAAAACCCAAGAACTACAAGGAAAATAAAATTACTTATTAGGTGTCGTAAATAATAATTAGGGAGAGATTTTTTGTTAATTGAAGGCTTTGAATTTAATAAGAATGCAATATTTTATTTACTAAATGGAATTATTAAATTATTAAGGTACCTGGATGGGGTAGGTTACAGTACTGTAATACTTTTAACCATGGTATAAGGATAACCACCATTGACAGATAGATACCTGTCAAATAAATCGTTAAATTTTTTCATTTATCGGGTATTTCAAAATGAGCCAAATATTTAATTTTTCATATACTCTAAAATTGTAAATTTTAATGCAAAGAATACATTATACCGATTATGTGTGGCCACCACGACTCTGCTGGTACACTCTTGTTCTTTTAGAGACATTCCCTTGAATATATCAAATGATATGTCGAATTACCTCGAATTTATCCATCTGTCTCTTTTATATATAACAATTTATTGCATTTTGTTAATTCTACCGGTCGTTTTGAATCGCCCTCTAGAACTACGACAAAGGTTTGCCAGACCCTGTATTTAAATAATTATATGAGTAGGTATAAAAATGCTAATGATGAATTAAATAATTGATTGAGTAATCACATCACCTAGAGAAACATTCCTAACATTTTCTAATTGTATATACGTAATATTCATTCATTTATATACGAATGTTATAAAAAATATTCTAAAGTAGGTACTTACAGGTTGTTAAAATGTATTAGGATACTAGTACGGTGGTTAGCGTCCAGGGAATTGGTAAATTGTCCAGAAATTTTTAGAATTATGCAGGATTTTTCTATAATTGTACTATCCCCCGGAATTTTATCCAAACAGTTAAAAATTCCCTGGAAATAAAAGACCCAAATAAACATCCAGTTACAAATACCGCCAAGCACGTAAAAATTTGGTAATATCCGGAAAATGTTGAGGCCTACAAAACTCGAGATAAAACTATCCTCAAACATTTAAGGTCCGTAAAATTGGCAGTGCAAAATCGGCGAAAATAAAAAAAAAAAACACCAAAATTTGTTGCTTTTTAGTTGCTAATTAGTTGCCAAAGAAACGATTTTGTTGCTCAAACCGATCAAAAAAAATCGGCAACGAATCTAGCTTAACGTTAAGTTAGCGTGAAAAAATAAATAAAGGTGTGGTATATTGCTTGATTGCAAGTCAATTTGTTGCTAATTTGTTGCTTTAAAATAAATTTGGAAAAATTGAATTTTTCCATTTTTGTAAAATTTAATACTGTCCACGCCAGCTTAACTCCCAATTTTTCCAGGTTAATTTTGATCAAATAATTTGTTGCTGCTCCTGAGGTGACTTCTCAAGGTGTGTAGAGTCAGCAACAAAATATAAACCGGAAGTCGGGAAAGTTTGGACACCGGTTAGTTCACAAACCGGTCACGCCAGCTTAACTTCCGATTTTTCCGGGTTAATTTTGATCAAATAATTTGTTGCTGCTCCTGAGGTGACTTCTCAAGGTGTGTAGAGTCAGCAACAAAATATAAACCGGAAGTTGGGAAAGTTTGGACACCGGTTAGTTCACAAACCGGTCACGCCAGCTTAACTATCGATTTTTCCGGGTCAAATTTGATCAAATAAATTGTTGCTGCTCACAGCTTTAATTGCTATGGTGCATATAGTCAGCAACAAAATATAAACCGGAAGTCGGGAAATTTTGGACACCGGTTAGTTTACAAACCGGTCACGCCAGCTTAACTCCCGATTTTTCCGGGTTAATTTTGATCAAATAATTTGTTGCTGCTCCTGAGGTGATTTTACAAAAATGGAAAAATTCAATTTTTCCAAATTTATTTTAAAGCAACAAATTAGCAACAAATTGACTTGCAATCAAGCAATATACCACACCTTTATTTATTTTTTCACGCTAACTTAACGTTAAGCTAGATTCGTTGCCGATTTTTTTTGATCGGTTTGAGCAACAAAATCGTTTCTTTAGCAACTAAAAAGCAACAAATTTTGGCGTTTTTTTTTTTATTTTCGCCGATTTTGCACTGCCAATTTTACGGACCTAACATTTAGACTTATACCGAATTTTAGGAAAATCAAACTACCGACAAGGTGTGGAACTCTGTGAAAATAGTAATTGAAAAATATTATGCATCTTTTATACTGAATGGGGCATATTAGCCATAATATTGAAATTTAACTACAATGGTAAGAAGTTCGCTTTTCCTGGACAATAACGCGCTAAGCGCTTACAGTTGAACAACACCCGTCGGTAACAGTCGATAAAGTAGGACACTACTAAGTTAAACGATTTAAAAAGTGGCAGGCTTTTTGAAGTAACATTTTCCTATTTGACAACTTTTGCTTACAACTACGGACAATAATTTTAGTGAATTTTTGTTGTATGTAAATGTTGAAAAATGGAAAATACCACTTATTTTTACTGAAAAATAAAATTAGGTGAAAAATATAACACATTTTTAACAAGTTTAATTTATTTAGAATTACCATGTAGGTAATTACATTATCTTCTAAACTGCATATTCAGAGCTATATCACACTAAATTACTGAAGAATAAAAATATAATATGATAACCAGCACAGCACATGACAATGATTTTGTTATTAAAAAAATGATAGTTTTTTATAAAAAGTCAGAAGCACAATTGTTTTAAATATCCCTAATACTCTTGACTTAATAATTCCATGAAAAATCATCTTAATTCTATAATATTCTAATGATGTATTATCCCTCCTTTTAATCTAGCATACTTGTAATGTTTATTTCGGGTACCATAAACCTACAGCTTCAGTACAGATGGGCTTTGAAATTCAGATTGATATTTATGAACATTCCAAAAATCTCCATTATCTAAAACAAAAATAAAGGCGCAGTTTGTATCTGAAAATTAAAAATTAACAGAGTTATTTTTAAAATTCTTACATATTTTCTTGCATTTTAGGTAAGTATAAAAAATATCAATTAAAATAGATTTATGGTCAACAGGTGAACCATATAAAAATTAACAAGTTGACATCAATATCATATTAGTTTTTGGACATAAACAGTATGTCCCCCTAAGTTGGAATCATGCGAAAAACTTTTTTTTTAATTTTAGAAAAAAAAAATTTTTTAGTGGTATACGAGGTTTGTCAAAAAATATGAATTTTAATCAAGAGTAAAGTACCTTTAAGTACCTTTATTCTTTATACGACTGATAAAATTTGATATTTGATGGTTGTATTTTAGGTTTTAGACCATGCTCGACTTTTTATAAAGAACAACTTTTTTTTCTCTAAAATTAGTAATAAAAAAGCTTTCCTATGCCACCAACTGTCTACGTAAATTGGCGGCATATGAAAATATTTTTTATTATTAATATTGGGAAAAAAGTTATTCTTTATAAAAAGTCGAGCATGGTCTAAAACCTAAAATACAATCATCATTGAGGAGCAAAATTTCAAAAGGAATATTATCCCTTTTTTAAGAATTGGGAAAAAGGGTGTAATTGGTGCAAAACTGACTAACGAAAATTAAATTGGTAAAGTGATATATGTAATACAAACCTTTGTAAAGCCAAATGGTAAAAATTAGAAATTTAGTTAATTTACAAATTTGATTAATTAATTAATTAATTTGGATAAAATTCGTTTTGAAAAAAAATAATCTATTAGAACCAAAAATTTAGGATAAAAATCTTTATGAAAGAATGTGAAAGAGGAATAATTACAAAATAAAAAAAGTACTATCAAACATTTTATTATTTTAAGGAAACTAAAATATTAATTTTAAGTGTTAAATAAAAACACCACCATCATCCTCATTGCAATCACAAGGTTCATCATCTTGGTTGGCGGAGGAGTCTGGGAGTGGTTCATCTAATAGCAATTCTTTAAAAAAATAAAGCTTTTCTTCTTGCTGCCAATTTTCATCGAACAATGACAGCAATGTTTTAAGATTTTTAATTTTTTCTTCCTTTACTGGGTTTTGTAATTCCTTTTCTTTGACGTTCAACTCCTTTAAAACTTTACCTTTTTTTTTGTTAAAATTTCGAAACTTTTTGTTAAGTCGTCGTTTCTGTAATATAATTCCATTTTTATTTTTACAACTCCCTTAGAATCCTTTCTTAATATTATTTTTTTTGTGTCTTTTATACCTTTTAACTTTTTCAAACTGGCATCAAGGGCCTTAAAATCTTTGATTGTCCAATCTGTTCCTAACTCTTTGACAGTTCCCACTTTATAAATTTCTATGTACTCTTCAGCATTAAGTATTACTTCTATTTTTCTAAGCTTCTTTTCAAGACGTCCGAACACCCTATCTGCTGGCAAAAAGGAGACGTAACTCTAATTTCTTCTAATTTTACAGGAGCACTTTTTGACAGCCAAATGGCCAGAGCATACATGACATAAGAATTTTTATTTTGCCCTGCACACCCGTCTGCAAATAAACGTAAGGTATTGCAATTATCAGAAAAATTATGCGAATTTAAAAAATTTGTAATCGCTGAGCCCACTTCATTCGCTCCTCTACCAGCTTGAGTTTCAATCCTGGTATAAAAAAAAGGAGACGAAGTTGCAACATTCGTTATACAAAAATTATAAAAGGAAAGCTGCCTTAAGTAATATGCTTCTCCAACAAGCAGTTTGGGCAGATTTTGAACCTGCTGTAGGTCGAAACAAAATACCTCACTATTTTCTTCATTTTTGTTCATCAATACGTGAAATTGTTTTGCTCTTAATTTATGAATTCTTAACTCTGTCATCAAATTAACTTTTTGCAATTCATCAGTGCAATTTTTTAGTTCATTTTTCTTTTTAAAGCAGAAACTACAAACATCCGAAGCTGGTGACCCGAAGCCAATGTTAAAATTAACAGAAAAAATCTTATTAAAAAAACCATATTTTACCCTGTAACTTTCAGCAACACTGGCATTGTACAATTTCCACAATTTCTTTATATTGAAATGGGCAGGTAAATACAATCGTTTTGATTTTTGGCGATTGTAATGGCTTTCTCTAGCACGAAGCTTTCCAAGAAACTTTTAAGAAACTTTTTAACCTCCTCTCTTTTTTCATCATTCTTTTTTGAACGCCTGTCTCCTCCTCTTCTCTCCTTTATGTCAGATCCAAATCTTATATTTCTTGTAATTGTATGTAACCGTTTTAAAGTAATTCCAAAACATTTTAAAATCATTTTTTGGCACACTCTGTAGATTTTCCCATTTTCCCTAACCATGTTGTATTTTGCTGATAAAATGTGTTTTTGATTTCTGCAATTAGCCCTGTATTTTTCCCTGTACCTCTTGGGTTCGGAAACTTTACACAAATAACTTAACTTTCTGTCTTGAACATGCTTATCGGGAATTTCTAAAAATTTTTTTCTTGCGACAGTTATGTCACGTCTTGTTATTTTAAAACATTTATACGTGGGTCCATTATGCATGCAGGGACGTTCAAAGGTTTCCAAATTTGGAAAATGATCCAAATATCTACAATAATAAATATAATATAAAAAAGTAGGGTTAAAAATTATGTTGTTGTCCTAATTACCTTAATTGCTTTGCTGTCTCCCTTTTTGTTGTTTTCTTCTTCCTTTTTCGACTTCCTTCATTTCCTTCACTAACTAACACTCCATCTAAATCCATGTTTTTTTCTTTAAATACACTGCTCAAGAACCTATTAGGACACTGATACTTATAAACGTGCTGATTTATACCAATATTCAATGAAAACAACAACAAACAAAATAAAATTCCATTTGAAAAGAAACCTTAGGATAAAAATCTTTTTAAAAAAAACTGCAATCTTTTGACATTTATTTTATATGGGATAAAATTTTTATTGAAACGCCTTGATTTGGTACCATATAGATGCAGTATTAAAGCATCTATCGCCACCTATAACTCAGAAGCTGAATTAATTGGATAATATTCCTTTTGAAATTTTGCTCCTCATATATCAAATTTTATCAGTCGTATAAAGAATAAAGGTACTTTATTCTTAAGTAAAACTCATATTTTTTGACAAACCTCTTATACCACTGAAAAAAATTTGATATTTGATGACTGTATTCTAGGTTTTAGATAATGCAGAACTTTTTATTAAGAATAACTTTTTTTCCTAAAATTAATAATAAAAAAGTTTTCCATATTATTCCAACTTAGGGGGACATACTGTATATGTCCATATTTGAACACAAATCAATCGCCTTTTTTCATTATGGTCTTTTATGAGTAAAACTATGATGCAATTCTATCTCGAGATCTACAATATCTGTAAATTGGCTTCGCACATTTCGCTCACTACTCTTTTCACTTTTTTGACTACAAATATTTAAAATTTTGATTCATTTCTCTCTAAGAGGAATAATAACTCAAATAATAATAATAATAATAGCAGGAAAAATACAAAATGTCTTGTTAATTTTGTGAGAAAAATATTTATTTCTGCAATTAAAATTTAAATGAATCCGAAGTTAATGACATTTGTACCTCACTATAGTTATAAATTACTTAAATCTAACTTATACTAAATTAATACAATTTACTCACCTTCATTCGAAAAGAAAATAGACCATTAATCAGACCGACATATTTATGGCAACATATCCTAATTTATTTAGCCAGATTTACACCATCTCATAATATTTAAATTTAGCTTTAACTTTACATTTATTATCGATTGTCCCTGTATTTCATCACACGTATTAAAGTGAAATTTTATACACTGCGCAACTCAAATAATGCAATATATGACAACCGCCTGTAATAAAACAGCAGTCCTCTGCGCATCCTGAATTTGTATCCCTGGAGTGGATGTTATTTTGGAACTTTCTACTGGTCCGAGTGAGCTAACTGATTCTTTAGCAATAAACTGTTACTCCAAAAATAATATTCACTGACATCAGTAAGCAAAATATTAAAAATATTGCGCCAAGATGTAGGCAACACGTAATAAGGCATCAAAATGGCGGAGTTTTCTATCTCCTTTTAAAAGGCACTCCGAAAGCTGCGTAGTGCGACCATCCTCCGTATAGTAAATCAAAGTATGTGGATTTAACCCTTAGCAACAACTTTTAGAACCAGTTTTAATACTACGTCATAGATTTTAAAAGCGCCCAAATAGATGATTTTAAAACAGTGATGTCACTAACAGTTATGGATTTATATATAGTTATAAAATACATTCCTTAAAACAAGAACTAAATCGATTTTAGTGACCCAAAGCCTGTGACATAGATCTCGTGGAAAAAAGAATCGTTTTTGTAGTTGATTGGACGAATTCCATTTATTACAGAAAAAATGGGAAAAATATAAAAATCAAATTCAAAATTTTAAATTTTGATTTAATCTGTTTCTTTTTTAAATGTGCGAGTATTTCTAAACGTCGAACTACAAATGCGTATCTTTCCGGAGATACTATCTTGGAACCAGATTTTAAAATGTGATCTTCAAATGAAAGAAAACTAATTTTATAAAAATTCTGAACCATTTAGAAATTGTAGATCCAAAAGAAATATGTCTTCAGATTCGGAGATTTTTTTAATGGAAATCATTAATAAGTTCGCAAAGACAAGTTTATGTTACCAATCTATATTACAGTCAAACAAATTTTATAAATAATAATAATAATAATAATACCCCTAATCCACCCCCTTACGAGTGAATTTCAACTTCAAAAGATGAGCTTGTTCAGAGAAGGGACGGCTATTATTATTTACCGTGGCACTCCGGGGCGACTTAAAGATGATGTTGCCATTTGACTTACAAGTTGGGAAAACCTCACCCATCACCATCATCGAAACGGTAACGCACTTCGATTTGTAATATGAATGCCTTATTGAAAGCATGTTTTACTGTGAATGATTTTTGTTTTCCACATGTGAAACATACATTTCTTTTACATGGTGAAAGGGACTCTCCTGTGACCAATTGATTCAAAGTAAAGTTGCTTATCGATTGATTTTTTTTTATTTTTCGCTGGCAATGAAATATATGCTTCTATACGTCTATAACTATAAAAAAAATCCCGTTGCCAGCATTTTCTATCTTCTGGTTTTGCTACTTCGGGTGTAGGGATTTGGACCCCGTAACCGGATATTTACGTTTTTCAATGTAACATAGCATTTAACGCGTTTTTTATGAATCTTGTAACATGGCGAAAATTACATGTTTTTTAAATAGGTGTAAAATCGGAACCATAAGTCAAAAAGGGGTTTAATTTCACTCCAAACATTTGTATGAATTTCAAATAATGTCCTTACAGACATTTTTTCAGTCTATTATTCACCCCGTATTTTTAAGATTTTTTTTTAAATAATATAATTTATGGCGTATGAGGTAAAACTACTAAATGCTTGCAAGGTAGTACTCTTATTTGAGAGTAATACAACAAATTTGAGAGCAATTAAACTACTTTTCGACTTTTGGTTTCGATTTTTACACCTATTTAAAAAAAAGACACAGACATTTTTTTTGCACATCAACCTTTTCGCCGACACAAAAAAAAATGCTTACAATATCATCTAGATTCAGAAAAAACACGCTAAAGCTATATCCCGAATTTCGTTGAAAAACTTAAATATCCGGTAACGTGGTCGAAATCCCTACACCGGAAATATCAAAACCAGACGAGAGAAAATATTTGCAAAGGGATTTTTTTATTGTTATTGACGTCTAGAAACATATCGTGAGCTTACTGCCAAAAGTGACCAAGTCCAATTTTATATGATTTGAGTTAATATGACCAAATCTCTTGGTAAAGTCAGATCTACCAAATAAAAAATGGTCAAGTCATATTGAGTTTATTTAGTTCTTTCATGCAGTGTAAATATGACTTGGGTGACTTTTTTTGTAGATCTGTCTTTAATAAGTGAATCGGTCATATTAACTCAAATAACATAAAATTCATCGATACGTAACTTTGAATTTAACCGGTCACACGACAGCTCCCACGATCGGGACACGTACATGTTGTTCACCCCCTCTCCTGTACCCAACTACAAATAGCAAGCAAAAACACGACGTGTTATTTTTTGCAGTCAGATGAGGGACTATAACTATTTTATAATAATTATGTTGTTCATTTATCCTTATTTTGAAACAACATCGTTTTGTTATATTTCATTATGTTTTTTTTTTGTTTTGTATTTAAAATTCCAATTTTAGAATAGAATGGGAATTATTTTTGTTTTTCAGGAAAAAAAAATCGGTATTACCGGAATTCCATTGAAAGTTCTTCGGAATTTCTGTGTACACAATTTGTATAATAAATTTACCCCTCTTCTTGACATGTGTTTGTTATGGTGAGGTAATATAATTTGTTGTCCTTATGTTTGTCCCATATGACCTGAGACCCAAACTAAGGTTATTCCAAATATGTTAGAGGTCTTTCAAGCAATTTCGTTCGTATACACAATTCGATTATAATAATTTTAAGGTTAAAACTAATACCTTAAATAATTTTTGTTAAAAAAAACTTTTACGGCAACTATAATTCAACTTTTAATTGTCTACTATAAACTCGTCATTTGAAACTGTCATGTATTAAACTTTTTAAATAATATAATTTTAGTCATATTAAGTAAAATAAACAGTTTATCAGCTACTAATTGAGCTTAATTGATATTGAATAATTATGTCCTTTTCAGGGACATTTTGGATGACAGTGACAGTGCCGAATTTAAAGTAGCCAGAAAAGTTGTCAGTTAAGTGTCATAATGAGTGAAGAAGCACCAATACATTCAGAGGTGATTCCTGATGTGTCACTAGACACTCCCCAAGTACCTCCCGTACAGTCTCCACCACCCTCAGAACCCTCCTTGGATATTCCCACAGCTGTAGAAGTAGATGCTGCTGTGGTGCCTACCAAAGATTCTGAGGAAGCTGCTAAACCACAGTTACCACAAGATCAAGTCATGACTGACGCTCCGTCTGGTGATCAAGAACAGCCAATACCAGGTCAAGAACCTGCATGTGAAGAACCAAAAGAACCTGAAAAACCTGAAGAAATTGTACGTCCTAAAACTCCTCCAAAAATGATTTCCATTCATATTAAAACTCCACAAGAACGCGAAACTTTCGAGGTAGAAGAGAATGCAGCTGTCACAGATTTAAAAGCTCTTATAGGTCCCAAGTTTAACGCTGAACCTGATCAGCTTTGTCTTATATTTGCTGGTAAAATAATGAAAGATGAAGATCACCTTCAAGAGCATCACATAAAAGATGGTTTGACCATTCATTTAGTTATAAGAGCTGCTCCTAGATTAAATGAAACAGCCGCTAATAGACGACCTGCTGATATTAGTGCTACTCCGTTTGGTTTGGGGAGCTTGGGTGGATTAGCTGGAATAGCTCAGTTAGGTATGGGATCTGCAAATTTTATGGAATTACAGAATCAAATGCAAAGTGAGCTTCTTTCTAATCCTAATATGCTGAGGAATTTGTTAGACAATCCACTAGTAACCCAATTGATGAGTAATCCTGAAGCCATGAGAAGTTTGTTAGTGAGAAATCCTCAGATGCAGGAGCTAATTGAAAGGTACCTATTAATGATATCGTCATTTTACATATTATCATTGTTCTCTCCGTATGTTCAAGCATTTGAAAATCATTTATATTATTACCCAACTATTAGAGCATTCAAATAATGATTTATTACTTACAGTAATTCAGAAAATTAATTGAATTGGTAGAATGAATTATTTTTAAAATTACATTTATGCAGGGTATTTCTTTGGGAAAAGAACATACGTTAACTGTGGATGAAGGTTATTGAGGTTGTTTCCGAATAACAACCAATACCAAAAAATGCGTCTTTATGACCGAGATACAGGGTGTTTTGCCTGTTTTTCTAATTCTTTCTCGACTTATAACTTACCAACCACCTTGTATAAATATGTTTTTGACATTTAGCACAAGTAATATCAACAAGAATCAAAATCCAGATCTCTCTTATCAAAAAATTTATAAATTCGTCAATCGAGAACTACTTCTGTCTAAATTTGTTTTCATATTTGAAAAGATGAAAAAATGTGATTTTCAATTTCACGCAGGCTATTTTACTTTTAAAATCAAGTTCAAATTGTTATTTTTGATCATTTTACAGTTACAAATTGGAATGAGACGACTTTTTATTAACCGACTTCAAAAAAGGAGAAAGATATCAATTCGCCGTAATACTTTTTTTTTATGTATGTTCAGCGATAATTCTTTAACACGGTGTCCGATTTCAATGATTCTTTTTTTTGTTAGTAAGGGGGTACCCTCAGGGGTGGTCCCATATAAATTTGGTTTAGATGTGGTGATGACATCTGCACTATCTTGAAGTCGGTTTTTTAAAATATATTTTTAATACTTGTGTACTGGTGAAATTTGTACATTTTTAATACTCTTCTGACAGATGTTTGCGATATACCCGTTATCTCGAATACTGACCTTTTACGAAAATTGTGTATAGTACAAAAATTATAGCGTAAATAACAGATATAGGGGTATATTCTGTAATAAGTTGGTTAAACCCTGGGTTATAAAAATAACTAGATGTTATTTTTAATTTTATATTCTGTAATATTTGGTTAAATTTATAACTTGTGTCAGTAATAATTCTAGTAATGATTAACTGTCAAATATATCCTTTGTCTTATTTTTTTAATGTCCCGTTGAGCTTTCAGTTCACTTTTATGTATATTACATTGTTGACATGTCTTTTAACTAGGATTGGTTATAACACAAAATTAAATTAATGGAATATCGAATAGAGATTTGGGTTAAAATAAATAACCTTTTAACCTGACGGTTAAAATTAACTAAAATGTTACAGATTAAACCCCATATTCCATAAAGTAGAAAAACTGCCCTTTATAAAATACCCCCTTTACCACCCTGAAAAGGAGGATAACTCATATAGCAGAATATTAGGAAAATAAAATGTCCTGGAAAATGTAAAATAAAACTCATGAAAAAGTCAATATTAAACTAAAAAAAAGTACCCCCCTCCTCCAGACGTTCCGAATATGGCCAAAATTTTATCTCTTCACTCCAGGAAAGCTTAAATTTAAAATTTGGTGTTTTTCTTTTATTCCGTTTTTGAGTTCCCTTAAAAATCTAAAATTTGTACTTTTTCTCAAATATCTCGAATATGGTCCATTTTAGAAAAATTATGTAATGAACAAGAATTATAGAGAATGATATCACAAACAACTCTTATTTAAACAATTTTCTTAAAAAATTGAATCTTACTTTTTGTTAATTTTCTCGAATACGGACCATTTTACGAAAAATTTGTATAGGATAAAAATTATAGAGAATACTATTACAAGCAACTTTTATTTGTTATAAACGAACCACCCAATCACACTATATGACGTCATCGATATTTTTTTTAAATTGAAAGGGTATATTTTTATATTAAAAATTGAAGGCCCATATTGTTCTGTGTTCAACCATACCACTTTAAGTTACAGTATACTGAGTACAAAGGAAACGTGTGTCATATTTCTTAACAGTTACTTCATTATTTATTTTGCTATGAAAACCTGAGAATTGCTCAGCTAGTTAGTTAGAGTAGGCTATCAAAACATATAAAAACTACTCAGCAACCAGACGATAAGTTCTTATTTACCATTATGTACGTCATTATTAAATTGAGTTGTTGTGTAGTAGCATATCGATTTATAAGCCATCAATAACATATTTCTGAAAAATATTACCATAACAGAAATTTGAAATTACGACGGTGCTGTCAGAATAACAGAATAGAAATTTTAATAGTCTTAGGTTACGGTGATCGTAAACGAAGTATGGCGGAATCTTAATGAAAAATATCCTGATCCAGAACCAATAAGCAAATCATATGCAAAATATTGCATATATTTAATGAGACTGGCAGACCTACTGTTGCGGATGACAATTAAATGTCTTGAAATTGAAGAAAATCTTTATAGGTCAATTAAAAGTATCTGGCAACAATGAGATCGGTCGTGGTGCTATTCATAAAATTTTACGAAAATACAAATTACATTCATATAAAGTTAAACTTATATATGAAATTAACTAGCTGTTGCCCGCGGCTTTGCTCGCATGTAATAGTGTTATTAATATAAAATACATGACTTCCTTTTTTTATTAATTTATTCGTTTTATTGATTTTCATTCATTTTTTTATATTTATTCATTTTTATTTATTTTTACACATTTTTATTTATTTTTATTTATTTTCATTCATTTTTATTTATTTTTATTCATGTTTATTCAGATTTAATCATTTTTATTCAGTTTCATTCATTTTTATTTATTTTTATTCATTTATATTAATTTTTACTAATTTTTATTAATTTATTTATCAATTTTTATTAATTTCTTTATCAATTTTTATTAATTTCTATTAATTTTTAATAATTACTTTTGTTATTTTAGTTTATTTTTATGATACTACCATACAAAAATCTAACCACAGAGCACGTCATTATTTATTTATGCTACAATTATAATTTTCAAGTTCCAACGTTTAAAAAATGTTTACTTCTATACAAATTTTTACCCCCGTTTCCCCCCTTAAAATGTGAAAATCTAAGAACCATGTAATTCAAATTTTTATGTTTCAAATTTTAAATAACAAAAAAATATATACATACTATTAAATAAATTTCCCCCTCATTTCCCCCCTTAAAATGTTAAAATGCATAAATCCTGAAACACTTCATTATTTATTTATGATGAGAACCTAGAATTCCAATTTTCAAGTTTCTACCTTTAAATAAATCGATATCTCCAAATAAACTTTCAGCACCATTTCCCCCCCTTAAAATGTGAAAATTCAAAAACCCTAAAACACGTCATTATTTATTTATGCTAAGTAACTGTAATTTAAATTTTCATGTTTCTAACTTTAAAGAACAAAGAGTTTCATTAAAAGCTCCCTCCCCCATTTCCTCCAATTTCCCCCCTTTAAAGTTAAAATTTTGAAAAATCCTTAGCGGATGCTAATGTTATAAAATAAACCTATGTTCCAAATTTCAGCTTTCTAGGCTCAGTAGTTTTGGCTGTAGATTGATAGGTCAGTTAGGACAAACAATTTTGTATATATAGGTGAAGACGACTTTGATAGACGCAGTTTTGTGGAATATTGCAAGAAGTGTGTAATCAAAATAATGGAATTGAATGTCCTGACGAATTAACTTTTTGTATGAATGGTACCGTGAATAAGCAAAATTGTCTTTATTGAGCAACAGAAAATCCCAATTGGGCTATAGACGCCAAATATCCTCAAAGGGTTTCTTAGGACAATATTTTTTGGCACTACTGTTACGAGTGAAATTACTCTGTAAATGTTGCAAACTTATGTAGTTTCATATTTAACTGTAACATATCCAGATATTAACCATTCTGGTCAAATAGATTCTACTATTTCATTCCATCAGGATGGAGCAAGTACCCTCTAATGGTTAGATATTTTCTCAATCGCTGGATTGGACGATCCAAGAATGTATTAGACCAGCCTGCACGTTATAATTCTGCCAAGCTTTTCTAAAAAAAAAGTGTTTACATGGTCGGGCCAAACTGATCAACGGTCAGCGGGCCGCCAAAACAACAATGGCGGGCCGTATGTTGTGCAGGCCTGTATTAGACGTTTTGGATATTGTCAATTAACCCAAGGAGCTCAATTCGAGCATTTGTTGTAAATATATTGTTATTGTTTATTTTTACTAAGTACTAACTACGTGTAATATTTTCATTGCAAAATAAATGTTAAACAATATGAGCACTGGTTTCCTTTACACTCAGTGTACTGTAACTTAAAGTATGTGGTATGGTTGATAAATATAGATTTTCAATTTTTAATATAAAAATAATCCCTTTCAATTTAAAAATAAATATCGATGACGTCATATCTTGTAAGGTAGTGGGGAAAAATTAATTTGTTGAAAAAAGTATAAAATAAAAAATTAAAATCGACTTGTCCGAGCTTTCCGATCCAAAATAATTACCTCTTAAGTTAATGGAACGTTTCCACACTTAATTCATATAGATATTAACATTTATAAAAGAGTGTCGGAATCAAATTGTAAATTAGGCATTGTATTAAGATTTAATTAAACTTTCCCTCCCACTTCCACTCAATATTTCTTCACTTTTAGTTTAATCAGAGAAACTAATTTTTGATGCCATTATTGAATTTACTCAAAATACTAAAATAGATGTAAATAGACTTGCTTGTCTGATGCCATCCATTAAAAAAAAGTAATAGGTAATGGATGTGCAAAAATAAAAAAATTTTATTCAGTTTTTGTGCTGGAAACAAATTTTATAAATTCAGTCAATGATGGTATTTTTGTTAAGACTGACTTGGATTTCGTTTTTTATTAATACCTTAATAGATTAGGCAAGTTGTGAAGAATGTCAAAAACATGTCGTTAGTATCAGATGAGTCAAGAAATAAAAGGGTGAAAGGCCCTTTAAGTTTGGCTTTTCTATGGTCTCCCGCCACATACAACGTATGTCCCTTTCCCAATGAAGCACCCTCTAAATTTTAATGAACGTACTTGCCAACCGGCTGTACTGCAAGATTTCATTTCAAAATATGTTGATAGAACAACAAAGTGGTAAATTGTTGCTGATTCAAATGCATTCTCTTAAAGGTATCCCGAGATCAACCAAACATTGAATAATCCTGAGCTGTTGCGCCAGACAGCAGAATTAGCTCGTAATCCATCGATGCTTCAAGAATTGATGAGAAGTCATGAACGCTCAATGGGTTTGGAACCTAATTCTCCCACTCCTCTTACCAATCCTGTTCCAAACTTATTTTCTGGCCTCCAACCAAATTTATCATCTGTTGCTGCCCAATTTCAAGCTAGTGCTCAAACTACACCAGCACGAGGAGTAATGAACCCACCCCCGTTAGCTAGTTTACTTCAACAAATGTCAGAAAATCCTTCTGTTATTCAAAATATGCTTCAAGCACCTTACACACAATCAGTTTTAGAAGCTTTAACCGCTGATCCTAACATAGCTAATGCTATTCTAGCTCAGAATCCTTTGATTACTGAAAATCCTGCTGTTCAAGAGCAAATGAGGCATATGATGCCTCAATTTATGCAGCAAATGCAGAACCCAGAGGTTCAAAATCTTATGACTAATTCTCAAGCTTTAGATGCTATTCTTCAGATTCAACAAGGGATGGAAACCTTAAGACAAGCAGCACCTAATTTAATTCATACCTTCCCTCCTCCAAATTCGCAAGGCGTGCCCAATATTAATACTACTAGTCCTAGGCCTGAAACTACATCACAAAATGCTGGGGCCCCCAGAGATGCTTTCTCTGAATTCATGAGCAGAATGGTTGCTACAATGGGCGCTAACAACGACAACAATTTACCTCCTGAACAAAGATACCAAGCTCAGTTGGAACAGCTGGCAGCAATGGGTTTTGTTAACAGGGAGATAAATTTGCAAGCTCTGATTGCTACTTTTGGAGATATTAATGCCGCAGTTGAGAAATTACTGGCTCAGGGTCAGCTATCTTCAATGGGATAAATTTTAGTTTCTGTAGGAATAAATACATGTGACTACAATAGTTTGTGTTTCCTTATTTAAGTATTAACTAAAATTTATCGACTTCGAATATTTTAGTGTTAAGACTTTTAATGTCAATTTATTTTTATTAATAAATTTAAATAATTATTTTTGTCAATTATTAATGTCAATTGGTTCTCAAAATGGACAAACAACATTAAAATCATCGCGTCTGTATTATCTATATTTCGCTTGTTTTTTTTTTTTTTTTTTTTTTCGTTTCTAGATCCCTAAAGCTAATTTTGCTCTCTGTAGTTGGAAGTAAAAAGTTGTAGTTTTCTATGGTGATTTTATTCGAGTTAGAAGGGAAATAGTTTTTGAAAATGATGGAAAAATTTATTCATGCTAAAATTGATCTGAATTCTCAGAATGTCTGGCACATACAATATTAATTAAATTGATGTTATATAGGAAATGACCGTTACTTGATAAATAAATTTTTATATGATCATGTCTGTACATGATTTAAACCAAGAACCGGTTAGACTGACATGCGCATTCAAGCATTTTTGTCGATGTTTGTGTCTGATACCGAACTGTCATCGAAAACAACTAAGAGTTTATCTTTTTTTTATACCCAAATGGATTTAGCTATTCTACGCACAGACTACAAAACGAAAAAGTATGCCATTGCCTTCAGCAGAACGAATATTTCATATAAATTCTACCTAGTAAGAACACGACAAAAAAGTTAAATCCATTAATCACAGTTCATATTTTGGTTATCTAACTAACTACTATTATTATTTTTTTTTTTTATTTAAATAAGTGAATTCCGTCACACTAATTGGGGTCTATTCTGTAACAATTCCTTTATATTTAACGGCCTTTAAAAATATTGGCGGCCTATAAAAATATGTTCGTATTCGTTAATTTACTTCTATCATTATTTAAACAGATTTCTTTAAGATAGTCCTCTAATATATTTTAAAGATCCGTTTAAATAGTGACAGAAGTAAAGAAGAAAATATTTTTAAAGGCCGTTAAATATAAAGGAATTGTTACAGAATAGACCCCATTGTCGGTGTATTTTTAGTTGAGAATAAATATACATTGAAATGAAATGTATAATAGCATTTTTATTTTTGTTTCATCTAAATTTACAAATAAAACTAGATGAAATCAACTTAATTACGGGTATTAAAACTAAATTGTTATTTGTGGCGACAGAGCAGAGACTAAGGCATCTGGATTCCATGCGAAAGACCCGGGTTCAAATCTTACGTCGTCGTGCTCAAACTTCGCCTTCGTGCGATATGACCATCGTATCCACTCTTGTTGCACATGTTGTGATCGTTCAGAGGACAATACAAAAGTTATTCATCGGCTCTGTAGTTCAGTTCGATGTATTAAATTACTGACCGTCGAGACGCATTGGTTCAAATCCCAGGGCAGACCAATGTGAATTTTTCATTAATTTGCATGGTTCTTTTTAGGATTTGATGGGTGGCGTATTTGAGCTTTTATTTTTAGTTCAATTTTCAGAAATTACCGATCATAAATAAAACTCGTGGGTGGAGAAACCTTAAATTTTTGTAAAGGGACGAAAAATGATATTATTACGTTTTCCGCTGAAAGTTGATGGCATAAACAAAAATGTATAATGCAAAAGTTAGAGATCAAGCAATAATCTGCAGCTTTTGTAGAGGTCACTCCAAATTTTTGATAAAAATGCAAAAGTTCGGTCGAATTTTTTATTTTTCCTTTTTCCAAAAATAATTAAATTTTAATGAAATTTGTTGAAATTATACCTTTTTGTGTCTTAAATAGGCAAACAAAAAAAATTAAAATATTTGGAGATAATTTTTTTCAGTCAAAAACACTTAAAAAAATCTACGCTGAAAAATAGTAAAAGTTCTTCAGGTACCTTTTTTTTTGTGACATGTAGTTTTTGATAAAATAAAAAAAAATATAGTCACCATTAAAAATCCAAAAAATGACAAGGACAACAATGAATTAATCCTTAATTATTGATATAATTTGTTTCGTTAAAAAAAAAGATATCACCATTCAGTTGTATGGAAAAAAATATAAAAGCAACTGTTTTTTAATTTGACTAGAATTCTCATTTTTGTATACAGGGTGAGGACTTTAACTGGAACTAATTCGCTAGAGCCGCAGGATAAAATATTTGGGTAAAACGCAAAAACAGGCCGATTGAGTTTTTTGTATGCTTTCCAGTCATGTTAAAAAAAATTGTTTTTCGCCCCTATTGTGGCACATTGTTTGAAAGCTTTTGTTTTTAAATAGGGTATTTTAATTTGATAGCAAATTTTTGACAAATAAAAATAAATAGACCCTAAAATGTGCCCTAAATTTTTTTGGAGGGCATTAATATTAAAACTTATGCAACACTTAACCTACCTATTTGCAATTCTGATGTTTATGTGAGATCGGTCAGCTTTACATTTATTAAACAAAACTGTGTATATATCCCATTTAAAAAAATTAAGTTGGATCGATTTCACCCCTTAAAAGGAGTGAATTTTTTTTTTTTTTTTAATATAGGCCACAAAAATCAATCGACCTGGTTTTTTCGTTTTTAACCAAATATTTTATCCTGCGGCTCTAGCGAATTAGTTCCAGTTAAAGCCCCCACCCTGTATACAAAAATACAAATTCTGGTCAAAAAATAAAAAACAGTTGCTTTATGTTTTTTCCAATAATTAAGCAAAACGTTGCTATTGTTATTTTTTGTTTTTATCCATGACTATATTTTTTTTATTTTATCAAAAATGAGTACCTGAAGAACTTTGTACGATAATTTTTCACCGTAGAATTTCTTTAAAAAAGTTTTGACCGAAAAAAATTATATAAAATTTTTGAATTTTTTATTTAAATTTTTTTTGTCTATTTAAGACACACAAACGTATAATTTTATTTAAAATTGAATTAATTTTGGAACAGGGAAGAATTAAAAACGAAAAAAAAAAAAAAAAACTTCGAAAATTTTGAGGTTATGTAGAAGCTGTAGATTTTTGCTCTATCTACAACTTTTGAATTATACATTTTTGTTTTTGAAGTCAACTTTCGCCGGAAATCGTGAATATACCATTTTTCACCTCTTATCAACCCCCTAAAAATTAACTTCAGGACCGCCCCCCAACCCTGGTTATATATATTTTTTTATAAGCCCATCATTTAAACTTATCAAAGTCCTGTTAACATTTTTTTTTATGTTGGACTAGAAACTATTCAAACGAGTACAACTACAAAACATTAGGGTTCGATTACAATAATTAAAAGAACAGCTACGTCATCATTTCGCAACGTAATTAGTTGGTTATCGCTGCCTACTGGGGATTAAGTGTAGTATTAATATTATTATAGAAATATAGGAAATATTGTTTTATACCTAAAACTTATTTTTTATTTATTGATAGTTATAGATACTATGTATTCAAAATTCGAAGTAATGGTTATAACGCAGCGGTGTTCTTCTAATTGTAATCGGATCCTACATGTTAAACTTGTATACAACCACATTTTTTTAGTGCGACACAGCGTTGAATATTTTGTTTTGAGTACTAGTGGTATTAACACGGTAGTTGTGACCAGTGCAACCAAAGTAGTAGTTATACAAATTTCATAAAATGCTCTCGTAGTATTATAATAAGTTCAGTTATAAAGAGAAACAAAAATTTGAAGACACGAAAAAATATTTATATTTTATCGATACAAGTATATTAGCAGGTAAACAAATTTTGGTGTTATTACTAATTGTAGTATAATGTAGACAACATCGACAGTCAAGAGCGGGGAAATATTGCGGTAGCAAAGGCCGCCAGCACTTCTCCAGGCAGAACGTATTGTGTTCTATCGATAATAATTTGGTAACTAAATAATTATTTGACTTGATAATTAATAAAATCTAACAAGTATATCTTCCTTTACCTCGCAGGGATGAACCGATATAGACAGACTGGACTCGCTTTGGTGTCAATGAATTTAAAGCGTGTCGGTTAAAGACAGAAAATATGACAAGCTGGTGTCGTAGCGAGTGTTTATTATTTATTTTAATGTTGGTTAGTTTATTTTAAACATTTATTAAGCATCTGATAAGAACATTAACAGAAATGTTAAATTAAGAAATTTCTACGATTAAGTATAATTATTCAATAGATGTAATAAATCATTCTTCAATTCGAAAAAAAGTCAATAATTTTAACAATTCGATGAGATGCACGCAATACAAATTGCAGTCTATTAAAATATTTAACAAATGGATTATAATTTTTTAGACTAATAAAATGCTGCCTAATAAACTAAAAGCCAGTTATAATACGCACTTGGTCAAAAAAGTGCTGTAAAATTTTAAATCTCCATATCTAAAGGAACAAAAATGGGTACATAAATAATTATTAAACTTAAATAAAATTTCAAGTAAAAACTTATCTCGTCAATGGGCGGAACTTAACTTCAAAGAAGTCGATTTGCTGTTGATTTTTAACTATAAAGTTTAGCTGACTTTCGACTAGTAACCCATTCCCTACACCGATTCTTCAATTTGCGTTTTTCCTTTATAATTGAATTATATTGTAAACCAATTTTCCAACAGTTGCCTATAGCGCGTGATCGTTAAAAAATAATCATCAACTGTTGCAAACTCTTAACGAACAAAGCTATTACTAAAGTTATATTTTCGTTTTAACTTTGCTAAGTTGCATAAAGCACCAAACCTCGAATTATAAAATATATTAATGAAGTAAATAATGGATCGGAAAGTTGTACACTCTCTTCTCTATGTCATTAATATGACTACTTTAGTATTTTACAAAGTATAGTCATAGGTTTTTATTTTATTCAGTTACATCAATAATCATCAGCGATTTTTTCAGTATTACATAACCATTAGTCCTACTTCATTCAGGGAAAAATTTCAATTTGTGTTAAAAGCTTATAAAAATAATGTATATCCATATTCTAATTCAATCCTTACATTACGGTCAATAGGTACATAAGTTCGGTATTGATTGGGAATACATTTCTTCCTTCATGTTTGTGTACAGTAAAGAGGAGCCATCATGGAGGGTCTTGATGTATAACAAA